TTCAAACTTTTTTAATTTTTTTTTTTGCGAAATTGTTTCATATGACTGGGTTAGGTTTTTTCAAGTGTCGCACAGGCAGACGGGAGCAGCAACATGTGGCGCGGAGCGAAGTGGCTCTGAATGGCGAACCTCGGCCGTCGCTCTGCCTCTCTCGCACCCACACGGGACGCCCCGCGAGTGGGACAGGGACAGAGCGACCCGCCAAAGTATCACCCGGCGTATATGAGTCCAGTCCAGACGCTTCGCCCCGGCGACGACGTCCGAAGCGGTCTCTCTGTCGTCTCTTACGTACTCGCACACTGCAGCCCGGCGGCGACACTGCCTCGGACGCAGACTCATTCGAATGGCACATCAGTGACTCGGTCTACCGTTAATGTCCAATAAAGACCGGGCGAGCCGCGCCGGAACCCGAGGTGCTTCGGTCGCGTCGGTACTCGACATGACCGCATGGCCGTCGGCGGCGCGGCGGCGTGAGGCCAAAACTCTGCCGCCGGCGCCACAAGCCAAGAGCATTTCCACAGCCCAAGGACATTTTCAGAGTACGAGCCTCACCTGAGGCAAGCTGTTTTAGCACTCTTTTCTTTTCGATTTTCTAAAATGTATGTAGAATCGTCCTCGCTTTTCGGCGTCCCCGGCGGCCTTCCCTGCACGCTGCGCTGGCTGCGCTCCGCCACCAAGGTGCGGCCCAGCGATAAAGCCCGGCAAGCCTCTAGGGAGTTATATTGTGAATCGGCCGAGCGGGCTGCCTGTCGCTCTGTCTCTCTCGCACTCGCGGGGGCGGTTGCGCCGCGGTGCGGGTGCGAGAGAGACAGAGAGACGTGCTCGAATCGGCCTGCGGGCCGGGAGTGGCGCTCTCCCGAATTAAGCCCCTAACCGACGGGGAGGGCGGGGAGGGGCTCGGAACGGAATTATCACCACGGACACAGCGCGGCGTGGCTCGGCGTGGCTCGGCGTGGTGGGGCCGCCCGTTCCGCGCCGCGCCGTGCCGTGCCTCGCGGCGTCGCCGTGCTCGCCGCGCTGCCATTGGTCGGTCGGCCGCAGCGCATCCGTCGTGCCGCTGCTGACGCGAGCCGCCATTGGCTGGCCGCCGAGCCGCGCCGCCGCGCCGGCCTGCCCTGGCCTGGCCGGGGTGTGACGGGAGGGGGCGCCGCGACGGCATGCCTCACGCCTCACGCCCCGCAACGCGGCACGGCACGCGGCACGGCACGGCACGCCCGCGACGTCCTCGACGCCGGCCTCCCCCTCGCCATGCTTGGCGTGCCGCGTGCACTGCGTGCTTCGCGCTTCGCCCCGCCACGCCCTGGCCATGCCCAGTGGGCCATGCCCCGCGCCGCAGCGCCGCCCACGCCTGTCCCACGCCGGCGCGCCTCCGGGGCGGATCCAGGACGGCTTTTTGGGGGGCCCTCGACACCCCTTTGGCCAACCTTCAGGCGGAGTGTCATGCTTGGTTAGGTTAGGTTAGGTTAGGTTGCCTCTGGAACCGCTAGAAGTTCAACTCGGCGTCCAGGACCGAGGTTTTCCACTTCGATTCAACGCGGCAGTCGAATTTTCCTCGGCTTTGCTCGCAACCGCATCAAAGCGTCACGCTCCAAAATCCTCATTCAAACATGTTTTTTGAACCGTTGGATCGTGGGACCGCCTTCCGACTTATGGCTTCATTGGCTTCGATTCGCAGTCTGCCTTTTTTCCTGTTTGGCGTGTTGCGTGCTGGCGTGCGCGGCCTGCTTCGCGTGGCTTCGCGTGGCTTCGTGTTCTGCCCTAGGTGAGACAGCGTAACTGTGGACTGAGCGGCGGGGCGGGGCGGGGCGGGGCGGGGCGGGGCGGGGCGGGGCGGGGGGGCGGGCGGCACGGGGTTGATGAGGCTGGTAGGAGGGACCAGTAGGCTCCTCCCACTAACCCGTCCGCCACGCTCTGCCACGCCTCGCCCCGCGTGCCGTGGCCGTGCCGTGGCCGTGCCGTGGCCGTGCCGTGGCCGTGCCGTGGCCGTTCCGTAGCGCATCCTGCCTCACATCGTCCTCGGCCACCGTAGCGAGCCGGTCGCCACCCAGTCACGGGCGGCGCGCGCGAGCCAGCCGAGCCAAGCGGATCCGAGCCGAGCCCAGCCCAGTGGAGCTAAGCGTACATCGAGTGCAGAACCCAGTGCGCCAGGACATGCTGCCAGTGGAGGACACCGTTTGAAGGTAAGGAGACGCGTATCGTCACGCTCTGTGTGTGTGTGTGTGTGTGTGTGTGCCTGCCTGTCCGGCTGTCTGTGTAAGAACGAGTGACAGTGAAGCTGAATCACCAATAGTCCATTGAAATAATCCATTGGTGGGGTCACACGTTCGGTTCAAGTCCCATTTGGCGACTCTGGAGCTCAAAACGCGTCTAGAGTTTTGGCCGCCTCCGCCGGTCTTCTGACCCACTGTGCTGTGCGCCCCTCGCTTCTACGAATGAGCGCCACCCCTTCAATTGGTGATCCTGGAAATGCGACCGCTCACTCCACACGCGCGTGATCCCGTTTAATCGAAAGCCCCCTTTTGCCTTCCCTCGTTGCGATCCACGATTATCCCCCCAATCACTATCAATTACAATTCGGACGGGCCTCGCATCCCCGCAACCTCACTGCAACACGCAAGGCGCATCACGTGGTTTGGCGGAAGATAGTCAAAATGACTGAACGGGGCCGTCACCTTTTCAGCAGTGTGTGTGTGTGTGTGTGTGTGGTGTGTGTGTGTGTCTGTCTGTCTGTGTGTCTGTGTGTCTGTGTGCATGTGTGCGACTGCTGCGGTGTCATTGGTGTCGCGAGCCGACCCCGCCCGGGCCCCGCCTGGTCCCCGCCTTTTCATCAAGTCGATGTTTACGACGTGTCCGAGTTGCCCCCGGGTGCCGCTCTGCAGGCTGCCTCCGAACAGCACCTCCCTCTCTCTCTCCCACTCGCGGGGCGCCCCGCAGGTTAGGTTAGGTGCGAGAGAGACAGAAACCAGCCTGCTGCCGGTGGCTCCGCGCCGCCTCGGAAAATTGAGGTTTGGGGACGCCGAGCCGAAAGGAGCCGATATAATGATAATGGCTTTAATAACTGCTATCAAGGCGATTTCGCTAACTCGGGCCGGGAGGACGGACGACAAGGGAAACATAAAGGGAAAGGCTCACCGTGTGAGGGAAAAGTGTGTCGCCCAGTTGACATGTCGAAGCGAATGAGTGCACTTTGAACTGGGGTCGTCGTCGCGCAGTGCGTTGCTGGTTAGGTTAGGTTAGGTTAGGTACCTAACTCGGTTAGGTACGTACGATGGTCTGAGTGAAAAATCGACCAGACATGTTCCATACGTTTGCTGCACTTTTTTTTGTACCAGTGACGTCACTTTGGCCCCCTCGTTGGGCTCGGCTATCTGCCCGTTATTTCACCGACTCTTTGCCTCGCCTTCGGGGCTGTCCTCCCCGAGTGTCCTCCGAGTCCTGCGGGTCCTATCACGATAACCACCGCTTCTGCTTGCGACAAAAAAGCAGCGCCTTGCAACCCTTTTGTGGGAAATGGGGAAATGACTTTGGGATCCGGGGGAGTGAGACGTCACTTACTACTAACAGGACCCACACACGTCGACAGGAAGGGATCAGACGACGCCCAAAAAAAGGGGTAAAATCACAATCACCGCTATGCGTGTGTATGTGCGCGCTTCGGGAGCTAATTGAAAAGTCGTTTTCACCGTTTATTCCGGGGGGGCAACGTTTTTGACGCTAGTCCAAAAAAAGTAGTTAAAACACAAGGTCAAAAACAAGTTTTTTTTTTAAAGAATGATCCGAGTGCGAAAAAGGGGGCAAATGAAGGAAAAGCATAGTTTGAAATCCATTGACTGCATTGCACGTTTATTTAAGAGACATTCACAAAAAATGTAGAATTTAAAATTACCGTCGTTTCCTCGAGGAATGACGAAAAGAAAATCTCGCGGAAACGACTCGTAAGCAAGGCGCTACCTTTGAGATTGTTGGACTCCCTTCACGGAAGCGCCGCCACACCGCAAACGAGGCGGTGCCTTTGCCTCCGCCCTCGTAACAAGACAACCACAATTATTGGCTGCGGGGGCCGCTAGAGGGGTGCTGCACAGTGATATGGTGGTTTCGTCGGCCTGGCCTCTCTCGCACCCCTACGCAACGCCCCACGAGTACACAATAGGCACTAGAAAATCCGACTGTCCATCCATTGTCAGACCGACAAGAAAAAAAAAACATGAGCGTAGTTTGAAAGTGTCCAGCCATAACCTAGAACGGGCGGGTGGGTCGATGGAAGGATGGCTTGATAAGCAGAGAGGTGCGCGATGACGTATAGGGCCGCGGCTAGGCACGGCATGGCGTGGCAGGGCGTGCCGCGGGGTGGCGGCGGTTGCGTGAGAAATCGGTACAGGTGTGTTTACAGGTATGAGACAGGTGCGGCGCGCACTTGATGACGACCTCTGTGCCATCCATCGTTTTAGATTGGAGGGTCGGGAAGTGCGCGCGGGAACCTCCGGGGCAGAAAGAGAGGGGGGGGGGCAGTTGACCAACAGCAAAACGGTCATTTGACACGCGCGGCAGTGTAGGTGGCGGTGCCGACCGAAAAAGCGCATTAAAGTCTGTTCGTCCTAATGTACGTTTCAGTTGTGGTCTTTTTTTTGTTTTTTTGTTATTTTGAGGGTGTTTGCTGGGAGAAAAAAAGGCTAAACAGCATAAACAGAGAAAAAACCCAGGCAGGTCGCACTTTACTTTTAGGAAAGATTGACCTGGTTTCGGCCCTGGCTCACCGACTTCCATTCATGCCTCCGCACAGTTTATAATTTCTGTTTGAAGTCTTGATGTCTTCACTGATGTCCGGAAATAGCCGAAGAGAAGAAATCTGGAGCACACGCACGGGACGGTTGCGGACGTAGCACTGCTGGCTGGAGACATGAACGACGGGCGGCGCGCAGCTCGGACTTTGTCGAAAACTTGCCTTCGTGTACAAATCATTCCTGCGACAGTCAGCTTACCTGCCCAATTTTGCGTTGCAGGACACCGGACAGACGCTGCCACCATGCCGCACACCGGTAAGTCTTCCACCGAAAAAACAAAAAGCCTGACAAATGAGTTCCGTGAGTGAGTAGGTGTGCGCCGCGGCCTGTAATTCGGGCCAATGATTGGCACCGCCGATCGCCGAATCGTCCACCGGGGTGGCATGCCACTGGCACCGTCTGCACCGCCACTGGCCTAATGACACAGCCCGGACACCGCCTGGACACCGCCACGCCCCCGTGGCTCGTGCCCAGCAGAGTCCTTCTCTTCGCTCTGCGTCTCTCGCAGCCACAGGGGTCAGGCAGAGCGGTGGAAACGACTTCTGTCTGAATCCGTCTCCCGACCGCGTATCGAAACTGCAACGGTCCGCCAAAGTCACGCGTGCCCACCACGGCCCCGCCACCGGCCAGATCCGCCGGATAAGCATTGGACTCATTACGCTATAAAATTACCTTATGAAGCCCCGGCACAGTGGGCGGGAGGGGCCGGCAGAGCACCGTCGTCTTTTTTTCTCTCGGCGTTTTTGGGACGTTTGGTCCCTGCAGCAGGTGCCTCCCTGCACCTGGGTCGCTGGATGTCGTCCCGAGTCCGAATGCACTCGCTGTCGGTGATTAGCAGCAGATTGATTTTTTTTCCTCAGCTTCTCTTTTTTTTCTCGCTCCTTTTTCATTCATGTTTTCGTCTCGGTAGCATTCGGTTTAGACTTTTTTCAAGTGCCGTATGCTAAAATTTCAGCGAGCCCGGGGCTTAGCTCATATCGCACCATATCACTATGAAAAGTACGGTCAAGTCAAGTTGGTTATCCCATTTCATAAAATTTTTTTAAAATTCAATTTCTTAATCATTTTGACTATGAGAGTGCCCAATAAACTCTCTCGAAAAATTAAAAAAAAAAACTGAAACCAATTTTAGTCGATTTTGGCGTAGCATATTTCTTTCTCCAGTGATGGCACTCCGGTCAGACTGATAAAAAAAACCAGTGACGATCCAATTTTTCAGCAAGTCCAGATGACAATTACCCGTTTTGACACGTAAGTGACTGTGTCCCTTCCTCGCCACTCGTCTCCACTCCTCGCGCCCACGCAGCACTGCAGACCACACATACGAAGTCCAATAATTACCGTTATAAATTACGGCACGCTAGACGTTCGTGCGGAGCGCGGTGTCCACTGATGGGCCAGCACATGGAAGCCGCCGCGCCGGCAGCCGCACAAAATAAGCAGTAATTCGGGAAATTTTATTACGTTCTTTTTTCGTTGGCGACACTGCTCGGAGTGCACTGTCGGAGAAACGTGGGACTCGTGAAAAGTCTTTCCCAACAGCTTTTTTTTTAAAAAAAAAATAAATATTTCGAACACATTGACAAAGTTTTCTCCAGTCACGCCAAAAATTCACTTTTTTTTGGCTTTGAATTTTCTTTTATTTTGGCACGATGATCTTGATCACGAGTCCTGATTGCTTATTTGCGTTGCCACGCCCTCCGGTACACACTCAATAAATAATAATTGGGCCTCCCCTCATTATTGGCAGATGCTTCGTCACCAGAGCAAACTTTCGCAGCAGTTTCTTCCTCTTTTTTTTTTATCGTGAACAATTTTGAGGCGGAGGCCACGCACCGCGCAATCAAGGCCTTGCCATCGATCCTCTCGAATCAACGTGCGAGAGCAAACACGGTCGTTAACTGGATTGCCCCCGTGCGCCAAGCGCCAAACGCGCCAAACGAGGGTGACAAACGAGCCACGCGCGTACAGTGCTCCAATAAGGCCCAAACAGAGGTGCCGCGTAAGTTTCGGCTGAAATTCTCACTTCGTTCCTCTCTGAGAACGATCCCTGGTTCCCCGAGGCGGTACCCAAAGGTGTGATAACCTGGGAGCTCCTTTGGAAAACCGTGCAGTGTCGAGAGGGTTGCGAACCTTAGCCTGCCAACAAGACAACTTCTGAGGTTGGCAACCCTGTCGACGCTGGAACGTCGTGGGAAGTTTCGCCTACTTGTGTATCAGCACTGATCCCAAACATGAGCCCCAATCCCCAATTTTGGCCGCGTTTAGGTCGTAGTGAGGTGATTTGCGGGGCTTCGGGCAACCGCCGGCCCCTCTCGTCCCAGAGTCTCATCTTTCCGGCGTTTGAAACGCTTTTCCCGATGCATCGGGGAAAGGAGCGGGAACGGGGCGCCCGATCGCGTGCAAACGTACGGCAACCTGTTTTTACGAAACAACAAGAAAAGCAACAACAAGTAGGCGGGCGTTAATGTCTCAATCGGGCCGAACGGCTGCGGCTTTATTGTCTTGAAACCTGTCCGTCAAAGCCGCCGGGGCCTGCGCATGCGCGTACGGCAGCAGCAGTGGGAGCAGGAGCAGGAGCAGTAGGCAGCAGCAGAGCAACAACAGCACAGTAGGAGGAGCAGTAGTAGTGGAGCAGCAGCAGTAGTAGTAGGATGCATTAGCAGCAGTAGGAGTAGCAGCTGCCTTAGGTGCAGCAGTAGCAGTCGTTTTGTTCCTGTCGGTCAAACCGCACGCCAAACTGTATCGACACCATGACCGCCAATGATTGACGGGGTAAAACAAAGAAAAAGAAGGGAGAGAGAGAGTGAGGCCCCGAAATGTGCGTGTGATAATTAGACAGATGGAAGTGCCGGCGTCTGAAGGCACCCAAGGGCTCAAAGGTTCCGACAGCGTCGTGGCTCGGGGGCACGGGGTATGGATTTCGTGGACACACACACAGGCGCACGCACAGTTCGCCCAGGGGCTTTCCACGGCGTCCCCTCTTGTTCCGCTCCTGTCCCAAGGACCAAGGACTTAGACTGCTCAATCCCCGGCGACACGACACGTGTGACAAGCAGGTGTATCCGCGAACCACCGACAGGCTGTCGGGCGAGGGGTGCGAGAGAGACCCATAGACAACATAACCTAACCTAACCTAACCTAACCTAACCTAACCTAACCCAACCTGAGATAACCTGACCTAACCTAACCCCATATGTTTGGGAGACAGGTCTAAGTTCCCCCCGTTTGCTTGCAGGCCAGGCCGGCGTGAACCAGCTGGGCGGCGTGTTCGTGAACGGGCGGCCGCTGCCGGACTGCGTGCGTCGCCGCATCGTGGAGCTGGCCCTGATGGGCGTGCGGCCGTGCGACATCTCGCGGCAGCTCCTCGTGTCGCACGGCTGCGTCTCCAAGATCCTCACGCGCTTCTACGAGACGGGCTCCATCCGGCCCGGCTCCATCGGCGGCAGCAAGACCAAGGTACGTTCTAACACAGTGGATTTGTCAGAAGACCGGCAGCACTCTACCAAAAATGTCCTGTAAATGCCGTTAATTTATTGCCAGCTTTCACTGTAGGTCAATTCACAGCGTTTGCTGTGAACTAGTTCACGGCGTTCACTGTGATCTCGGTTACAGTGTTCACTGTGATCTGGTCCCCAGTAAACACTGTGAGTTTGACGCCGCTGAGCACCGAAGTTCTGCAAATCAGGCTCCAATTCACGGCGTTTACTGTGGCCAGATCACAGTGAACACTGTAACCGAGATCACAGTGAACGCCGTGAACTAGTTCACAGCAAACGCCGTGAATTGCATAACAGCAAACATTGGTAATAAATTAACGGCGTTGACAGGACATTTTTTGTAGAGTGAGTGGCGGTGGCGGAAACTCTAGACGCGTTTTGAGCTCCAGAGTCGGTGAATGGGCCTCGAGCCGGACGTGTGACCCCACCAATGGATTGCTCTCCGAACGAGGAATCCATTGGTGGGGTCACACGTTCAGTTCAAGACCTGCTAAGCGACTCTAAAGCCCTAACACGAGACTAGAATTTTGGCCGCCTCCACCTGTGGAATTTTCGGCCCACGCTGTGTCGGCTTCGCGCCGGCTTTCGCACCTTCGGCTGCCCTCGGCCCGACTACCTGCTTACTGACCGCATTCGCGGCAACACGCAAACTCGGCCGTATTTTACGGCCCCTTTCGGAGGGCCCCTCAGAGGGCCCGGCCGGGGGAGGCGCCCCTTGACCGCCGCATCTGCCCCTCATTGAGACGTCCCGTCCGAGACGTCTCGCCCGCCTCGCGTGCCGAACATGCCGAGCTTGTCGACACGGAAACCGAATGTCTCTCTTTCCCAAAGGCGATCATGTCCAAGTGCCGTTGATTTGACAGGTCTTTGTCATAACACGTGGCCAAAGTTAATTAGGTGAATCGACGTCTGAGGTGGAAGCGAATGTCAATTTGAAAATATTAAGTCATCGGTAAATGGACTGCTCAAGACACGCGGTTTCAGATCTGTATTTTTAAAAAATTAATCTATTGGTACCGGTACCATCGGGTACCATGATATCATGGTATTTGATTCAATATTTGAAAAGTACGTACGTAACGTCTCCAGATTTGTGCCGCCACCCCAACTGCAGTCGGCGCGCTGTAAAACATGACGGGCCACACCCACACTACGCGCGCGGAATATTTAATATCAATCAGCGACTTCATTACCATAAACGGGGGTCGGCTTACGACCGGGAGGTGCCGGGAGTCAGTCAGGTGTAAAGAAGCGATTAATTTATCACCCGCCGGCGGAGTGAGTTCGGTGGGCGGCAAACCTAACCTCACCAGCGCTCGCCGCGGCGTGGGCGGGGCGGCCCGGGCCTATCTGTTGAGCAAATAGCGCGGCAACGCCCGGCCGCCCGCCATAAAACACTTTCAGTGCAGTCGATCCAGGCGAAATGATGTCGAAAGGGGTGCCTCGGCCGGGGGCGGCGCGGGGGCGGCGCCAACGCATTAGTTAGCACCCGTCGTGTTCGAACTGACCCGGGGCGTTCCCCCTGCTTGAACCTGCCTGTCGTTGGGCGCACAAGTTTTCCAGTAGTTTATAACGCCAGCTTCATTACACAACAAACAATTTTTTTTTGTTTTTGTTTTCAATTTTTGTAGTGGTGCGTAGTAGTGACCTAGCACCCCCTTCCCCACAGTAAAAGGCCCCATCTGATGGACACGCGGACCAAGTTTTACAGCGCCATAACCCTTCTTCTTCTTCTTCTTCTTCTTCTTCTTCTTCTTCTTCTTCTTCTTCTTCTTCTTCTTCTTCTTCTTCTTCTTCTTCTTCTTCTTCTTCTTCTTCTTCTTCTTCTTCTTCTTCTTCTTCTTCTTCTTCTCCTTCTTCTTCTTCTTGTGGCGGTCGCGTGTTGGTCGTGCGGACAGGCCTAGGAGGACGACACACCTGCTGCCGGTCGACCCGCCCCGCCACCGCCCTGCCCAGCTAAGCGCAACACTTTTTAATTTGTTCGTGCCACGCGCCGCACACGCCCCGCCACGCCCCGTGACCCCTCACACACACACACACACACACACACACACACACACACACACACACACACACACACACACACACACACACACACACACACACACACACACACACACACACACACACACACAGTGCACGCATTAGGCGTGCCATTATTTCGAGGGTTTGGCCAACGGCATCGCCGATGCACTCTTTGGGGAAACACTTTAGGAAACCTCGCGGAGCCACACCGGCCGCAGCTATAGGAGTCCGCATCGCGATCAGAAAAATGAATAACAGCCAAAAAAGAAAAGCAAAAGACCAGAAAAAAGTGTGGCGGCTTAATGACGCCCCGGCCACGCGTGGACCGCTAACTAGGCTAATCGAGCGGCGAGACAGAGAGTAATCTCGTTCTATTTCCAAGTTTTTTCGGCATGCAGGGCGTGATCCCCGTCGCGGTTGAGCCCCAACGGCTTTAGACGCAACAGGGCCGGGGCTAGATCGACCCCAAGAGGGCAGAAATTGTGAATCAATTGCTTTGTTTTGAGCAAGAACTTCCCCAAAACTCTTTGTTTTATGGCGTTGGTACCCGTGTGTGATCGTCCTGCTCCCTCAGGGCTTTCACTGCGAGTGTCGTTAGGGGTCAGCAGGGGGCCGAGAGGGTATCAGGGTCGCCTTCAGCCGCCTTCAGCCGCCTTCAGCCGCGGTACCGTGAAATCAGGGCATTTGTCAGGAGGCAGGGAGCACGGCGCTCAGGCCACCTGCCTGCAAGGCGTGCCGGCGGCCAAAACTCCAGACGCGTTTTGAGCTCCAGAGTCGCTGAATGGGACTCGAACCGAGCGTGTGACCCCACCAATGGATTCCTCGCTCGGAGAGCAATCCATTGGTGGGGTCACACGTTCGGTTCGAGTCCCATTCAGCGACTCTGGAGCTCAAAACGCGTCTACCGCATCCGCCGGTCGGGGAGACTTGAACGCACGTCAGTGTCTATGTGTTTTGATGTAAATGTTACGTGATTTCAGAATGTGGACCGAGGCAGGCGGCGGGGGGACTGGAAATGGGTACGTTCAAAACTCCACGTTATTTAAATTTAGACTTAAGACCTCTGTGGCCGTTGAAGGAGACCACTGACAAAATGCGCGCCGAGGCAGGCTGACGCTAGCCGAAAGAGTGACGCGTTTTCTGAATGGAACTGAACGGTGCCACTGTAAACCTGACGCATTCCGCGCCGCGAGTCTCGAGGCGGAGACGCCTGCACTGCTAGGGCTGGGCGGAAGGGCGTTCCCGCCAAACGCATTCCACAGTGGCGCGGCGGGGCGGGGCGGGGCGGGGCGGAGCCAGCGACGCGCTAAGCCCCTCCCACCGGCCGCCATGGGCTGCCATAGGCCGGATGCGCTTGATCAATAGCCCCCCCTCCCTCCCCCCGTGCGCGCGCGCGCGCGCGCGCACACACACACACACACACACACACACACACACACACACACACACACACACACACACACACACACTGCCGTGACCTCCGCGCTGCCGCGGCATCGCTACAGTGCTGTGGGCGTTAATCCCAACTGATACCATCCCCACTGCCGGGCATGGCACGGCAGGGCACCCACCCCCGCGCTGCTCCTCGCCCCATTCACCCTGAATGGCTTTCAATCGTCGGCCCTGCCTTCGGGCCTTTGGGCCTGTGGGCCTTCGCACACGATTGAATCCCGGCGGGCTCGGTGCTGGCCGCCCCTGGCCGCCTGCGGACTGATTTCGTCGCTCTGTCTCTCTCGCACTCTTGGGGTCTTCCGCGTGGGGGCGACGTAAACGATACACTGGAATCAGGCTGCCAAAATGGAGTCCCGAAATTCCGTTCTAAAACATGCGTTTGGTTGGCGTTGTGATCTTTCTGCGGCCGAGGTTGGGTTCAGGGTTTGCGTTAGAACGGGTTTGGTTCTGGAATGTGTGCTAACGCAGGCCCCCTTGCTCTGTCCGCGGCGCCCCGGCGTTGTCCAGGTTGCCGAGGTGAGTCAGGGGGACGCCCCGGGTCCCTCGCCGACGACTAGTGCAGCACCGTCCGCGCGGGCCGTGAGGGCGCCACCACTGGCGCTCCCCGACGGGTACCAGGAGTACCAGGAGGCCGACACAGAGGTGCTAATAACTCCATCTCGCTTTAATGCCTGGCGGTAATCACTGCTGTTAGGCCGGTCAGGCACGGTCTCTCTCGCTCCGTCTCGGGGCGCGCCGTGAGTGCGAGAGAGAGGGCTGCCGGTTGGCGCTTGTCGGCACACTGTCGGCACAGCATCACAGGGCCGGGCCGGCCACGCCACTGTACAGCCTCATGGCCTGGCTCAGCGTGAAGCGGTAACGCAGTAACGGCCTCTGTCTCTCATTCCATAACGTCGTCATGGCGGCCGAGCGAGCTTCACGTCTGTTTGCTGTCCGTTTCTGCAGAGCGCCGCACAGCGAGAGGCGGCGGCCAAAACTCCAGACGCGTTTTGAGCTCCACAGTCGCTAAACAGGACTCGAACCGAACGTGTGACCCCACCAATGGATTGCTCTCCGAACGAGGAATCCATTCATAGGGTCACACGTTCGCGTCGAGTCCTGTCGAGCGACTGAGCTCAAAACGCGTCTGGAGTTGTGACCGCTTCCGCCGGCCTTCTGGCCCACTGTGGGGCGTTAGCAGGCGTTAGCAGAACGCGAGGCGTGACTCCCTAATAGCCCCCCGTGGGGCCTCTCGGCCCCTCGGCCTGCTCCGGGAGGGCCGACGTGCTCAAAGGCGCCGCCGCAGCCCCACGGGGCCGTGCAGGGCTTGCAGGGCCTGCAGGGCCTCCAGGGCCCCACGGGGGGCAGGGCAGGGCAGCCGGCACACACGGTCGTAAAGTGACAGGGCCAGGCCGCGCACAAGCCGGACTCGTAGCAGTCACTTCCATTCAAACTATCCTCGAAAAGCCCTGGAAACCCGGAAAACTGTCTCGAAACGATCAAATGCTTTTTCCGGCGCGCGAGCCGAGAACCGTTACAAACGAGAGCCACAGTCGAGTAGGCGACACGGCGCGACCCGCGCGTGCGTCTCGAAAAGAACAACAACAACACAAAATAAAACAAGATTATTAATAAAAGAGGGGTAAGGACAAATTAGGTCAGCCAGACGGGGTCGTAATTAGCACCCGGAAGCCGGCGACGCGGCGACGCATCGCGAGCGAGAGAGACAGACGGAGGGCTGGGCGTGCGCGGGGCCTGCGCGGGGCGTGGGTGCGAGAGAGACGGAGAAAAGTGCCGTGTGGCATGCGGGCTCGGCATCAGATAAGGCGGCGGGGCACTGCCACGCCACTGCCACGGCACTGCCACGCCACTGCAAGGGGTGCAATGGGGATTCGCGTCACGCGTTGCCGTGCAGTGACAGTTTTTCCTTCTTTTTTCGCCCCCTTTTTCTTTTGAAGTACCGTTCAGGTGTGTCCGTCTCTTCCACGGAAAGTGCCTTCGCTTTGCGGTCGGTGGAGGCGGACAAAATTCTACATGCGTTTTGAGCTCCCGAGTCGATAAATGGGACCGAACGTGTGACCCCACCAATGGACTGCACTCCGAACGAGGAATCCATCGGTGGGGTCACTCGTTCGGTTCGAGCCCCGTTTAGCGACTCTGGAGCTCAAAACGCGTCCAGAGTCTTGGCCGCCCGTACTGATGGCCGCCTCCTCCGTGTGTCCCTGCAGCAGGTGGCGACCCCCACCGTGGTGAAGAAGATCCTGCGCTACAAGCAGGACAACCCGGGCATGTTCGCGTGGGAGATCCGCGACCAGCTGGTGACGCAGCGCGTGTGCGAGCCTCACGCCATTCCCTCCGTGTCCTCGGTGAACCGCATCCTGAGGAACAGCGGCGCGTGGAGCGACGCGGACCTCATGCGGCAGCAGCAGCACGCCCAGCAGCAGCACGCCAGCCCTGCCAGTGAGTCCGAGGAGGTGCACTGCGAGCGGCCGAAACTCCGGACGCGTGCAGAGCTCCATTTAGCTCCAGAGCTCCGCATTCAGCGACTCGAACCGAACGTGTGACCCCACCAATGGACTGCTCTCCGAAAGAGGAATCCATTGGTGGGGTCACACGTTCGGTCCGAGTGCTGGTATTTGAACCCGCGATTTCGTCCCCGCAGGCTCGCGCGGAAGCCCCGGGCCGCCGGGACGGGACGTGCTGGCGGCGCTGCAGCAGCAGGCGGTGGCGGCGGGGGCGTGGTCGGGGCTGCTGCTGTGCGCGCCGCCGCCGCACCACCCGTACAACGCCCTGTTCCCCTCGCTGCACCAGCAGCTGCTGCAGCAGCAACTCCAGCACGCGCACCTGCAGCAGCACGGCCAGCACGGCCAGCACCAGCACGCGGCCGTCAGCGACGACGATTCCATGGACAGGGCCGACAGGACCGACGCCGCGGTGAGCTTGACCTTTACCCCTTCCGTCGCTCTGTCGCTCTCGCACCGTGACGCCCCGCGAGTGCGGCAGAGACAGAGCGACGAAGACGACTCTCTCAATAAGTGTCCCGCCGAAACGAGTTCCACGTTTTTATGGCGATCCGTTCAAGTCCGGCGCCTCAACTTTGGGGCCGCGCCGCTGGGGGCGTACGTTGGGCTGCCCACCCTCACGGCGTTCGTCGGCATGGCTCGACCGTCGACCCAACGACGAGGTGTAGACGCGCTGGCCGCGCTATCTGGCTGATCTGAGGGCCGATTCCAGGCAGCGCTCTGTCTCTCTCGCACGCCCAGGGGACGCCCGGACGCCCCCTGGGTGCGAGAGAGACAGAGAACACGGTTCGGAATGACCCCGCTGATGACGACCCCGTCGCCCCGACATGGCACGGCGTAGCCTGGCGGCATGGCCCAGGCATGGCCCTGCAGTGCCTGACCATGCCCAGCATGCATTATTACTGAGGCTGCCTGTCCCCATTGCGTGTGGCCATGCCGGCCAGGCCGGCCAGGGGAAGGGGAAGGGGAAGAGATGCACGCACACACCTGTGAAAATCGCTTCGGCACGCCGATGTCACTGCCGTAGAACGCTCATAAAAACAAAAAACACCAAAAAAAGATGGCACTTGTTCAAATTTTGGCACCTGGAGCTAGGGTGGATCCAGAGCCCTTCGCGCGAGCCCTTTTTGGCGCACAGGGGTGGGGAGAGAATCGGGCAGGCCGTCGAAAAAAAGGTCGACAAACGGTATACACCCGCCGAATCGCTCGATCACGGGGTGCAGGGCGTGGATCAGATAGAGCGCGCGCCGTGGCGGAGCGGCGGAGCACTGCGCGGCTTCCATGGCGTGGTCGAGCGTGGTGCTGTGACGCCGCGCTGTGACGCCGCGCACCGCATCCGCGTTTAGGCGGCAGGGCGGCAAGGTGTCGACGATCCCACGGGATGCTCGCCGTGCGGCGATACCCCGCCACGCCACGCCCGACGAGCCGGGAGTATCGTCAGCGCCCGGAGTATCGCCGCTCAGTGGTGATGACTGACTGTTTGCTTTCCAGAGCCACGGTGGCGAGAAGCGCTGCCGGTCACCGTCGCCGTGCCCGACGCCGCCGCCAGCGACGCCCCACGCCGCCAAGAAGAAGAACCCGTACTCCATCGAGGAGCTCCTGAAGAGGCCCGACCGGGACGCCGCGCCCCGCCGCAGCCCCGTGGCCCTGGCCGCGCTGGCGCTGACGACGTGCTGCCCGCCGCCCCCAGGGCCGCCCCCGGTGCAGGCGGGCACCGCCCCCGCCGCACCCAGCGCCAGCCCCAGCTTCTGCCACTCGCCGTCCTCGGCCTTCTCGGAGGCGTCGGCGCCGTCACCCGAGCCGTCGTGCGGCGCCGGCGTCGTCCTGGCCATCCCGCGGCCGCGGACTCCTCGACGACCGCCCGCGTCGCCGGCGGCACCCGCGGCGCCCCTGGCCGCCGTGCCGGCCGTCTGAGCGGCGCACGTCTTAGCAGCTACCTCATGTAACTTGCGCCAATTTTCCGGAGGTGTCTCTAACAAAACTCTACCAATAGTGATTCTGCCCTTGTGTTGATGCTATTATGTTCCGAGCAACTCGTTGCCGTTTAGATTTAATTTGTGTTTATTTATTGCTATTTATTTACTTTTGTTTACAACTGCTGCAATCACGCATTGTTGACTTTTTTTTTGCAAGTACTTGCCATACCAAACAATGAACGCTTGCAATACTCATTTACTGGTTAATGCGGTCTTTTGACTTTCCTTGGCACGACCTCGGAGATATTGTTTCGTTCACGAACTTATGTGATATTATCATTATTCATTTTTAGTTATTATTTGCTTTAATGTTATGGCATTAAAACGAACTTGTTTCTCGTCTTGGTTTCTTTCATTTCAATCCCACGGACCAGGAAGGAAGGAGTAACTCAAAACTTTTTAGACTAGTTTTAATATGGACATTCAGGCATGACGTTTGAATTTCACATAAGTTACATCAAAGAAAGCTTAACATAAACTTTCTCACATTACATATATCACATTTTCAAATTCATAACTAAAACCTACAGATGCCATTCAGGCAAAGTCCTTACATTGCTAAACGATTTTGATTTGAATGACAATGACATTTTTCGGTTGATGAAAAATAATGAGCAGACATGATCATGGCGAATTGGTGCGCAAATTGATTAATCTAACTAATAGGGCCATTCCATCAGTTCTGAATTCTTCAGGGTAACGAAACATTCTAGAGCGGGCCTTTTCTGTAAATCTCGTTGGTCTTGAATAATTCACAGTGCCCACAAAGAGTAAAGAAATATTTAGATTTTAAAAAACCTTCGCTTTCTCTGTAACCCCGAAAAAGACTTACACCCCTTTGCTAAAGCGGAAAGTTGCCGAAGAAGTTTCGGTCGTTCGCTACGTGATGAGGTAGGCTTTGGCATTTCTGGAGGGCGAGTTGCTACACTGACGTTCACCCGCACGCGGTCGGTGTCGCCCGACGGGCTGGTTCCAACGTCGGCGTTCCGGCCGGGCCGGGCGGGGCGGGGCGGGGCTCGGTTGCATCAGTGGATGCCCTCCAGGGGGCTGTAGGTGCGGTACTGGTAGAGTTCGTTGCCGCCGTAGCCGTACAGGAGGCGGCCCCGGCCCGCCGCGTCGTAGTACGGGTACCGGTACTGCGGCCTGCAACACCAGCAGGCCAACACCGGCCCGCCAAATGTAGGGGATGCACACTGCCAGGAGTGCCAACAGTGGGCCGGAAGACAAAGCGGCGGACAAAACTCTAGGCGCGTTTTGAGCTCGCAAAATAGGACTCGAACCGAACGTGTGACCCCACCAATGGATCGCTCTCCGAACGAGGAATCCATTAGTGGGGTCACACGTTCTGCTCGAGACCCATTTGACGACTCTGGAGCTCAAAACGCGTTTAGAGTTTTGGCCGCCGGTCTTCTGGCCCACTGTGCAGCGGCTTTGTACGCACCTTTCAAAATACTGGAAGTTGGGCGCTCGGGGTTGCGGGATGGTCGCCTCGCTGGCCGGGGCGAGGCACACCAACGCCGCCACCACCTGCAACACCAAAGCCGCGTTAGAAATGCAGTCAAGAGTGTTGCAACACGACGATGCTACGATGCACTAGTGTCGAAAGGGTTGCCAACCCCAGCCTGCCGACTCAGAAGACAAAGGCAAGTTCAAAATATAAAGCGAAGTTCCGACCCCGGTGTCCTCGAAACATTCGGCAACTCACCAGGACCACGAGCATCGTGACTTTGGAGACCATGGCGCCCTTTCTTTCTTTCTCTCTCTCTCTCTCTCTCACACACGCACGCGCATGTACTCGTGCACCTCACTCTGGCACCGACGGGCGAAGACTGGCCGACCGATGGCGTGCGTGACCGACCATTCATTGCACCTACTCCCCCTCCCCCTCCACTCCCCCCTCTCCCCCTCCCCCTCCCCCCCTCTCCCCTCCCCCTCTCTCGCCCATCCCTCCCCAGATTCACTTTCGGTTTCAGAGCGGAGAGAAAGTCTCAAGCAAGGTGCATCGCGGATTGCGTTCCACAGACGGACTGACACACTAGCTCGCGGGCGGACAGACGGGTAGTCGGAGAGACAGACAGACAGACAGACAGACAGACAGACAGACAGACTGACTGACTGAGGAAGATGGGGATCAAGGACCTTAAGAGAGCACTAATGATGTCTGTAGGATACGCGGAGCGTTGTCACAATAGGCCTGTGGTTCGGATTTGGATTGCCCTGATGCTCACATTCACACCGACACACACACACACACACACAGGCAACTGTGACAACTGAAAGGACGGGATGGACAGAAACGCGGGCGTGTTATCTTTTTCTTACCGGGTCCGGAGAGAAGTGTTTCTTTTTGTCGGCGACAACAAACAGTGGAGTGCCCGGCGTCCCGTTAATTTGAAAACGGTGTTTCCCTTTCTCCTCCAGGCCGAGCTTTGCAGGTAAACACCAGGTTCGTCTAGTGTTCTGCCCGCCAAGGATAGCGGTGTGGGCTTCCCTCGGCCGACTCGCGCCACGCACCTCCGCGACGTGTGCCCACCTTGCAAATATGCATAAGCACCCCGCACTGTTGCCCCAAGAAAAACAAAAAAGGAAGAAAGAAAGAGGCAGGCGAGCCAGGCGTTCGAAAAGCCCCCTTCTCTTCTCTCCCCCCTCTGATGCACTGTGAGACGTGCCATGACACCGAGCCAAGCCGTGCCGAAGCACCCCGCCACCACCCACCCCGGCCCGGCCCGGCCCGCGCCTCTAGGTACGGCCAATGAAAGTGGGTAAGGGGGACACACTGGCCGCTCCTCACGGTCACTCCCTTTGTTCCAAAGGCGACTCTAAAGAAGAGTCGAAGCGAAGCTCCGAAACGCCACCTAGAGCTCTAGAGTCGCCGAACGGGCCTCGAATCGGACGTGTGGCCCCACCAATGGATTGCTCTCCGAACGAGGAATCCATTGGTGGGGTCACACGTTCGGTTCGGGTCCTGCTTAGCGACTCTGGAGCTCAAAACGCGTCTAGAGTTTTGGCCGCCTGCACCGGTCTTCTGGCCCACTGCGCCGCCTTGGACGTAACCGCTGCAGGGAAATACGCAGCCCGTTCCCCAAGGTCGCGGTCAGTGGTGCCGACCGGAACCGGATCTCCATATCGCCCAGCCAGCGAGAGACGAGTCACCGTGCCAGTGTGCCAGTCACGCCTCGGGGCAGCCAGCCAGTCGGGCGCGGCCGTCAGATGGGCTGCCTACCCTCACGGCGCTCCCAGGCGCGAGCGTGACTTGACGCACGCACGCCGTTGTCTCGCTGTCCCCCACGGAGGGATCCCTCCGCTGACAGTGTGACGGAGACAGACTAGCTGGCCGGGGTGGGGGAGGGGAGGGGGGTTGCAGCGGTCCAGGCCCAGGGTTGACGGGGCGGGCTGGATAATCGCCACATCAGCGTCACAAATCCATCGCGGTCCAGCCGGTTTCTGCGCCCGTCCGTCACTCCGACGACTGTCCGACTGTCTTCGCGCCTAGCTAGGGCACTGCCAAAACAGTCTTATTATTCTGCCCTTCGAAGAGTGGCGCAATTGAAGGCCGGGGGTCTATGCGCGGTGCTCACACATTCCCGCACGCGCACACGCACACACATACATACACAGAGCCAGCCAGGACGTCCCGGCACGCCACTCAAACGTAACCGACAAGCACGCGTCGTGCGACAAGAAGCAAACAATGGGTTCTGCCCTTCCGTCACCCCGCGCGCCGTGCCGTGCCGTGCCGTGCCGTGTCCTGTTCCGGCACAGTGCACTGCAAAAACGGCAAGTGCTGCGCGACCCTTGTCGCAACGCGTCCGCCAAACTTGTAGCCCCGCATGGCGCGCGGGGGACTTCCCTAGCACAGTGGGCCAGAAGACCGGTGGGGGCGGTCAAAACCCCGGACGCGTTTTGAGCTCCAGAGTCGCTAAATGGGACTCGAACCGAACGTGTGACCCCACCAATGGATTGCTCTCCGAACGAGGAATCCATTGGTGGGGTCACACGCTCGGTTCGAGTCCCATTAGCGACTCTGGAGCTCAAAACGCGTCCAGAGTGTTGGCTGGTGGACGCAGACGCACCTGACTAGAGCTCTAGAGCAGCATCCCGAGGAGTCCGAAGCGCGGGCTGCGCAGGGTGCGCGTGCCGGCGGCGCGGCCGGGGCTCCTGGAACTGCGCAGGGGCGGCTGGGGCTGTCCGGGCTGCCAGTCGCGCTCGGGCGGCACCGGGAACGAGTCTCGGTACGCCTGCTGCTGGCGCCGCTCCTCCATGCGGCCGTCCTCGCCCAGCCCGGCCTGCTCCACCAGGTTGTAGGCGCGGTAGCCGTGCATGCGCTGGAACTCGTCGCGGCGCCGCAGCCCCACGTCCGGGTCGAAGGACCACTGCTGCTTCTCGTGCACCACCGGCGCGCCGGCCACGTTGTCGCGCAGCAGCGTGTAGAGGATGCCGCGCGGGGCGGGGGACGCCCGGCCCACCGACGCCCACGCCAGCACCTGTCGACAAAAGCAAGCAGATGATTCCTTCTGCTCTACCTCGAACCGAACGTGTGACCCCACCAATGGATTCCTCGTTCGGAGAGCAGTCCATTGGTGGGGTCACACGTTCGGTTCGAGCCCCATTTAGCGACTCTGGATCTCAAAACGCTTCTGGAGTTTTTGCCGCCTCCACCGGTATTTTTGAGTTGCCGGCTGCCGCCGGTACTTGAACCCGAGGATCCACGCTCGGACCTGTCACGACTTTTTACCCAACGCCGAATTCTCGCCGCCAGACGCGGCAGAGCGGCAGCTTCAAGGTATACTTTGTCTGCTGTCGACACGGCGATAGGCAATCTCAGCATCTAGGCTCGGCCCTGCGTGTGTGTGCGTGACTGTGTCACTGGGGCCGCGTGCCTATAATGTATGCCGAGGTGGGGGGGGGGCGCCAAACGCCAGCCGCTGCATTTCGGCCGGCGAGTGCAGAAAGGACAGCCGCCCCGCCCCGCCCCGCCAGCACGTTAGCATTGACCCGGGCGTCGAGGACCTTGAGGTACAGCGCGTCGCCGCCAAGCCTGCCCAGCGCCACCGGCGCGCCCCTTGGAGGGGGCCGGGCCTGTCCTGTCGGGCCGGCCGCGGACGGGCTATACCGGGTGCGGGTACAGTAGCGGCTGCGCCTGGCCGCCGGGCTGCTCGGCTGCGCCGCCGGCCGCACCACCGGACCTTCGCCGGACCACAACACGGTGAAATGGCGCAACGCCAGGGGTAAACAAACGCGTTTCAAGTTCAAGTCGGCAGAGCCTGGCAGAGCCGTGCGAGGGACCTGCTTCGTCGCCCTGTCTCTCTCGCACCGCGGCGGGACAGAGACAGAATGAAACCATTTGACTGATTTGATGGAGTGACAGCGTCCCCGTTTGACTGTGTTTCCAACAGTGTTCTCCAAAGGTCCGCCTGATGGCTCCGCTTGCTCGGCGTGCTCCGCGGCACCCGATGCCACCTGATGGCATTGTGCGCTCTCTGATTGGCGCTGGCATTTGCATACAGCGGTGCTGTAAAAGCTGCCTTGGCCAACGGGCATCATTCCCGTTGCCAATCCCCGAAAGGACAGTCCAGCACCTGCTGCGTCAACGGGGACCCGAGAGTCGCGTCATCTGGGCAATCCTAACAGTGTCAGACCTCACAGGCAACATTGCATTGTTTTAGTTTTGAGGATTAGTTCCTTTAAAATTAATCCATTCGAGTAAGGAGACACCCCCCCCCTTAAAAATGTTTTTCGAAGTGAGCATATTTTTAATGCATTAATTTATTAACTGAGGGCGCAGTGTTACAGCCTCTGACGCCATCGAAAAATTAAACGCCCGCTGTGTGGAAAAGCTCTCTCTGCGGTAAAACGTTTGCACTCGGTCGCCGGAGAGTGTCAGGCATTATGTCGTTCGTTCGGCGCAGTTGGCAGCACCGTGCAGCTGCACTGTGAACGCGCTGTCGAAACAGCGCGATTCAACTCGAATTTCGCCGCGCCCGTGCATCGAAACTAATTTCCATTTCTAAGCGCAACAAGTGTAATTACTTGACTGTTCCAAGAAAATTACATGGAAAGGAAAATTATCTCGGATGAAGAAACGATTGTTGTTTTGGGGTGTAGGGGGATTCCAGATAACAAAATTCCCAATAAAATAGCAGAACAAGGAAAAAAACTGGGTGAAAAAAAAATAGGTTACGGCCGGTATTCGAACGCAGGCACGTCACCTTGACGGCGCGAGCGTTGCCCCACGGCGATTGGCCTGCACTAAGGGCGACACTGCTGAGCCGACTGGACTGGAATACAGTCACTGGACATGACTCTGGACTCCAGGCGAGTCCAGGCGAGTCCAGGCCGGTGCAGCTGCACGGTGGACCGGTTCGCGACGCGGGCCGCGAGGCCGCCGGGGCCAGCTCTGTCTTTCTCTGTCTTTCACCGTCCCGCCGTCTCGCTTGCTCACTTTCGCTCTCGTCCAGTGAATAAACTATCTCGGCGCTCGAAAGGCGCGCTAAAAACTAAAAGGCCAAGCGCACCAACACACGACATGCTGCGCTGCGCTCAGATCGGCTCAGATAGCAAGGCATTATTTGAATTTGCAGTGTATATGCACACACACACACGTACGTCCTATTCATCCCCGAGTGCATTCATTGCGTTGCCTAATACGTAATTAAACTCCGACTCTTCACTCCCCTCCATTCCACATGGCGCGCGCGAGTATGCGTGTCTGTCCGTCTAGGTGTTTGCGTTCGTGTGTTGACGCCCTGCACCAGTTTCCTTTTCGTTTTATACGCGTTTTCTGTCTCAAGGTCGCATCTCAGGCACATTCTCGCCCGGCGAAATGCAACCTGCTTCTAGCTTCTCACGGTGGAGGCGGGAACCGCGAGGGAACCGCCCTGCTTGGGTGCGAGAGCAAGCACGCCGTCAGTGCCCCGCACAGCGGATTTGCCAGAGGACCAGTGGAGGCGGCCGAAATCCTAGACGCGTTTTGAGCTCCAGAGTATCTAAATGGGACTCGAACCGAACGTGTGACCCCACCAATGGACTGCTCTCCGAACGAGGAATCCATTGGTGGGGTCACACGTTCGGTTCGAGTCCTGTTCAGCGACTCTGGAGCTCAAAACGCGTCTAGAGTTTTGGCCGCCAGCGCAGCGCGGGTCTTCTGGCTGCGGCCCTGCCAGCCCTGCCGGGGCGGCGGTCCATGGCCCCGGCCTCCACGCCCTTGGCGGCCCTTTGGCGGGCGCGCCGCCCAGACGAGGCTGGCAGCGGGCAGGGCCCTCGGCCGGACCGGATCGGACGCACCCGACTCGCACCGGACTCTCAAGGAGCAAGGGCAAGTTGCGCAACCGCCTTCCACCTGGGCTATCTGCCCGACGGGCCCTGGCAGCCTGGCAGCCTGGCGGCTCTTGGCTCCGGACGGGCGGGCCTCCGGCCGGGGAAAGAAGACTTGTTGCACGCACACTGTTTGGAGATCTAGCAAGCCGATACGGCCCCAGCAAAATCACTGTCTTTTCGCACAAGAGTGGCTCGCTTGCAGTGTGGCCTGGAACCAGTCGCCCGTCCGGCGGCCGGTCTGTGTTCCACCATGCAGGCGAGCAAACGCTGCCAACTTTCCTTCATTTCGGCAGCCGAATTCCACAGGAAGAAACTCCTTTTGTCAAGTTTGCTTTCCATCCTCATTATCCTTGTCCTAGTGCCCCCTTCCCCCTGCGGGGCCCTGCCGCCCTGCCCCGTGAGGCAACGCGTGCATGAACAGACAATAGCTCATGTCGCGGACTGTCACCTGAGGCGTCACACGACAAGCAACAGCCATTCTCGTTATGATGTCGCTTGTTCCAAACCTTCCATCCCGCGTGTACTACACTCGCCGAAACACGCCAAGCATTTCAGGCAACACAAAAAAATGGTATACGATTTAACATGGTGTTTGGAAATTAAACTACTTCGCAATATAGCGTGTGACCCCACCAATGGATTCCTCGTTCGGAGAGCAATCCATTGGTGGGGTCACACGTTCGTTCGAGTCCCATTTAGCGACTCTGGAGCTCAAAACGCGGCTAGAATTTTGGCCGCCGTTCTGTTCCGTCGTTCGGTCTCTAGACGGGGCGCCCCATGAGTGCGAGGGAGGCAGACCTGCAGGTTAAGTTGTGGTCTAGCCCGCAATGGTAATGGTAACGCAGGTTAGGCACCACGGGTGGATGGCTCCTTGGCGGGTTGCCTATCCGTTCCTTGGCAGGCGCCAAGAGCTATGCAGCAGGTGAAAGGGTGGGGCAACGGGAGGCGTTGCGGCACCAGAGCGCAAGTGCGGGAGTAGCGGCCGCGGGGCGAGAGAAAGAGGGAGGGGGGGGGGGAGCAGCGGTCAGCCCTGGTCAAGGTTAGGCACCAGCGCTGCCCAGCGGCCCAGCGCGTCTCAGGGGAGGAGGGGAGGGGGACGCTCGGAGGACGATGCGCCGGTGGTTTAGGTGTCTGTCCACGTTACGAGTCGGACATGTCTGGTCATATTTGCCTGGGCCGTCCGTACTGTCGCACTCGGCGTTCCGTACCTTTTTTCCGTACCCTGTCTGGGTTCATTTGGGGCAAGTCGGCGTGTCTTTCTCCTGCCTCCGTCAATTTCTGTACCATTCCGTACAAAGTACGGTTTTGTCCTTCTGCTCCGTGCCGGCGGCCAAGCGGCGCCTGGCTGGCTGCAGCTGGCTGGCAGTCGAATCTGATGGAAAGAGTCCAGGAGCGACAAGGACGCGCCGCTGCTCCACTAGAAAAAGACGGCGACGCGGGGAACCTGTTCGTTAGGAAGATTGGCTACTGAATGATGGGGTCGACCGTCGCTGTCGTTCGGAGAAATTCGCCTTGATTCTCGACACCATAAAAACAACAACACCAAAAAAAGAACACGAGTTGACCAAACCACGTGACCGTCGTCGCAGCAGTGTTGTGGTTCTCGAGCCTCGGCTTCACATAAACAGAGATGCACAATGGTTGACCCTGCCCGTCGGTGATTTGCAGTTTTCGGCTAAACAGTCTCGACGACCAGAGAAAATAAAAGTGTGCTTGGGCAATACTAATTCGTTTCGGCCGCGGCACGGTCGAGCCTTGCAGTGTGGCGGCGATGCGTCCAGGCGCTAAGTGACGGCTTGGCCGCGGCGCGTGCGCGAGTGTGTGAGCACCAACACACTCGAATACACACTCGCATGCACACACACACACACACACAGGTACGAACTTCGAAATCCACTTCATTTCAGCAAAGCCCCGCATGCAATACATAGGCTTAATTTTCCGTGAGTAATACCACACCAGAACACGCGCACACTTTCAGCAGTGTGGTGTCGGTGACTTTTGATGACTTTTGACTTTTGATTTTTTCGCCCATTGCCGATGAGTTAAGATGAATCTTGGATGAATTTACGTGCGCTCGTGTGTGTGAGTGTGTGTCTGAGTGTGTGCTTGCACCCCGTCCAGCCCAGTGACCTCTAGCACCTGCCTTCTAATTTGCCTGCCATAAAGCCATTCGGCATTTCGATTTATAAGCTTTGGGTGTGCACACGCAAGTGATCCAGACCTTTACGGCGGGCTGAATCGGGGGCAGTGTACCCACTCTGTCGATACAAAGCGCCTACACTGTCCCAATGTCCGCGTAAAAAAAATTGAAAACAAAAACAAAAAAAACATAGAGACGTACGTACTTTGGCGGAGCACTCTTCAGAGCAGTACTCGCAGTACCATACAGTGAGTGGATAACCCTTCAGGTGTCGGGTTGTTTTGGTGCCAAAACCAGCCGCATTTCTTCTTCGCTAGCTCATTGAGCCGGTGTCACGGGTGAGTCACGACCGAGCTCGTGTGTGGGTGTGTGCGTGTGCGCGAGCATGAGTGTGTGTGTGTGTGTGTGTGTGTCAGTGCGCGCAAGTGTAGTGCCCCGGAGTGTCAAAAACTCATAGACCGGTTGGCACAGCGAAGCGTCACGGCGAGCTTAGGGGGAAGACACGGCACTGGCAGAAAAACGTCTATGTAAATGTCAGTGCTCTCCCAGTCCCTGCCCGGCCGCGCGCGACAAGAAAAGATGCAAGACGAAAGAGTTATATTTTGACCAATATCGTTGATGGCATTTCACAGAGCATTGGAGATAGTTTGGACTTAAAGCTATGATGACAATAATTGATGAATGAATGAATGAAACTTCATGGCCTATGTTTGAAACGGGACGATTCTCAAAATCTGTCATTCACAAAGAATCAGATAAATCACATTTTTCCCCTTGCACTTAAAATTTTTTTTCAAGTGCAAGGGGTAATTTTTTTTCCGGGAAAAATAATATCTTATGAACTTTTAAAGCTGGCTCAATTTAGGAGTAAACGTGATGAATTTTGTGACACGTGGTGGCATGGTGTAATGGATGAATGTGCCTCGGAATGAATGCATGTGCATGATGAATGAATGGGTGATGAATGGGTGATGGGCAGACTTACGCAGAGCGCTAAGAAGGTAATCCTAATCCCCATGGCGGCAGTCGTGGGCAGCACGGGCACATAGAACTAAGTCACTCGGTGATAGCCTGTGCGATGCGTTCGGCCAGGCCACGCTCGGTGGACTGAAGGCGAGGCGAGCCAGCGCCGCGCTCCATGCGGCCAGCCGGCGAGGCCCCCCGCCCCGCCCCGCCGCGCCCCGCCCCGCCCACCGCGCGCGCACACAGACTCGCACGTCAGCCGCACTAACTCGTATCAGCCGCCTGGCCGGCGGACGCGGCCCATGACGGTCACGATGACGTGCTCGAAGTTGTCCCCCGGCGTGCTCCGGGTCAGCAGCCCGTCGGCACCCCGTCGGCACACCGTCGGCGACGGGCGGCCAGCGGCCCCAAGCGTGCCCGGAGCGCGGTCACAGAGACCTCGACGCGGGAGCGGGGTACGCCGCCACACTATGTCTATGCTTTTCTCCTTCATGTCGGCCACTGCAAGTGCATGCACTTCCAGTGGCTGGGCTTTGTTGCCTCGACACTGGAAGACTGAGTGTTCGCCAACACGCGGCCCTCGGACGCATCCCCGCGCTCGACTTGCGATAGAGAGGATGTTGATGTGCACGCGCGATGCCCCTGACTCTCTCTCTCTCTCTCTCTCTCTCTCTCTCTCTCTCTCTCTCTTGCTCGTGCCGTGCCAGGGTCAGGCGTTACCGTTTTCGCCAAAATGTGGCCCTCGCCTAGTCCCGCCCCCTCGCACGCACACGCTTAGTGACGCGGGGCGTGGCATTGGCAGCAGTCGACACGCACCTCGCGCACTGTTTCCCTTTTCGCGCCTTTTTTAATTTAAAAAAAAAATAAATAAAATAAAGGCAATCCCGTTCCTCTCCAGACGCTCCCAGACAGCCCTCAGCCGTTTCAATGTCAGACGTTTTTTTTTTCTTTCGTTTTTTGGCGCGGCGTCGATGAGTCGGTGTTTTGTTCCAACCTTCTCGTCTCGCGCCGAGACGGTTCACTCATCGGGCCCCAAATTGGCAGCATTTTCGCACATTTTTGCACATTTTCGCACATTTTCTCTGGGCGACGGCGCAGTGACATCGGACATGATCCATCGACTACACCGTCAATCACGCGTCAGCATTGGGAACGAGTCGTGACCGGGTTCGACTCCCGGTCACCGCGGCGTTTTCCACCACACCTGGCTGTCTTTAATCAGGCAGAAAGAGAAGGAGGAGAAGAAGGAGGAGGAGAAGAAGGCGAAGAAGAAGCAGGAGAAGAAGAAGCAGGGGAAAATGAAGGAGAAGGAGAGGAAGGAGGAGAAAGAGGAGAAGGAGGAGGAGAAGCAGTGCCGCCCGGCCTTGCGCCGCCTTTGCGGTGTTCCAAAAGCCGGTTCGGTGCGTCCAGAGAGTCCAGAGAGTCCTGCAGGCCTGCAAGGCGGCACGGCGCGCGCTGCAGCCTTGGCGCCTGGCGATGCGGCGGCCCCTCCACCACACCACCACCACCACCACGCCCTGGTACAGCACGCCCAGCTTCTCACGTAGTCCCCATGCTGCATACCCCGGCGATGCAGCTGGATTCGGTGTCGACACTCTGCATCTACCTAGGCCCCTCTCGTTGCCCCCCCCCCCTCTCTCTCCGCCACCCAGCGGCCACGCGCCTCTATGCAACGTCGCGGTTCCCAGGTGGCGATTGCAAAGCGGCCAAAAACAGCTCCGCCGACTTTCTTTCGTTTTCGCACGGGCGAGAGAGAGAAAAGAGAGCGCTAACTCGGCACTCAGCAAGGCGATGGGTGTTGATAGCGCCGCAAGCTTCAGATCATTATACTGTGTCCATTTTTTTTTGGCTGCTCTTATCGTTGATGCAGGACTTTATTGCAGTAAGTTATGTTTCTTTGTTTTGATGCTGCGTAAAAAAATTTGCCAATGTTTTAAAATTTGATGAAAAGGCGTGTGTTCGTGAACGTGAACGCGTGCCTGTCTGTGTGTGTGTTTGGGTTGGCTCGGGTCAGGCCGCTAGACAATGATGCAGTGACCTTTTCGGGCCGATCCTCACCCGCATGGTGGTGCCGCCTCTGAGCGAGCGCCCCGCCCCGCCCCGCCCCGCCCCCCGCCCACCTGACCCCGGTTGACCCGACCGACGCAGGACGGGCCACGCAGGCTACGCAGGCCAGGCGGGCGCTGTGACACGCGCCCGGGCCGTGTCCTTCCCCGGGGCGTCCTCTTTCTCCCTCCAATAATCGTCCGCAGCGGGCCGATTCGGAGGGCCGTTTTCGTCGCTCTGTCTCTCTCGCACCCGTACGACACGCCCCGCGAGTGCGAGAGAGACAGAGGCACGGCCTGCTCGGCGACGCACTGCGCCTGCACTCCGCGGGCGCGCCTAAAAATCGCCAGACGACAGCGTTGCAGCGTTGCCAGCGCTCCGAGCGTTTGCGCAAGGCTCGCCGTTCTGACGTGGACAGAGATAGGGTTTAGTGCTCGTCTCCCGGAGAGAGCACTGCACCGCCCGTCTGACCGACTGTTTTGGCTGGAGATTCGAAAAGTACGCTGCGGGCAGATTCAGCTAAGCGCGCTGTCTCTCTCGCACCCCTGCGGGAGGTCCCTGGAGTGCGAGAGAGACAGAGCGGCTGCTCGCGCAACGGGTGCGGACGGCGGCGCAGCATCCGCGGGCTGGCCGTGAACGCCGGGAACACGTCCAGCCTCCTCGTCGCCAAGGCCGTCCCCAAGGCCGCGGCTCCGCGGCTCCGCGGCTCCGCGGCGCGGGGGAGTGCGGCGTGCTTATGCAGGCATGCAGGCCTCGGCTTTTGGGTCGTTCTGTCACTCTGTGGGCAGGGCGGGTGTGGCTGGCGCGGCCGCAGCGCGGTGGGCCGTTGGGCAACGAAGATGACACACGCCACCCACCGCGGCGAGGTGGCCGTCAACGCGGACCTTGGCGTCCACGTCCACACCCGCCAAGTGTAATCATATGCGGGGACCCCGGGACTCGAATCCCCGAGCCACACCGAGCCACACGCCAACGACGACCCCCGCCTAAGTTTATCGTAGGACGGGGCCTCGGTGCCTCTGCAGAGGACCAAAACTTCGTCCCGTCTGTTGCTGTTGTTAATATTGTTGTTGTTTCTTCTCTGGATTTTATTTCTTAATTTTTGAAATAAATAATAAAAATTGCTGCGTAGTTTTTGCTTCTTTGTTTTACTATGAAGTCTCTCGTTTTTGGGTCCTTCTCAGGCTTTTTTTCTTTCGTATTTTTTTTTGTGCACCTAGTCTTGCTAGCCATGCAACAGCCTGCAGCCTCATGGACCGGGTCGTCTGACTGCATCGCGGTCCGCGGTCGGCGGGGCCGCTGCCACCAGGCCGCCACCCGAGAGTCGTTCTCGTCGCCCTGTCTCTCTCGCACTCGCGGGGCGCCCCCAGCGACCATCAGTCAGCCGGCGTGTTGCGATAGGCCCACGCGAAGATCGATGCCGCCGAAGGGCGACTCGCCACAAAGGAGTGCCTCGAAGGTCAGTGTCTGCTTGTCTCTCTCGCACTTACACGGGGCGCCCCATGAGTGCGAGAGAGACAGCGGCGGGAGCATTATCGGCAGCGCGACAATGGCACCGTGGCGCGCCGTCGCGCCAACACTCGCCCCGTCCGTGCCGCGCGGGCTGCCCGTCTCTGCCTCCTCGGCCAGGGGCAGCAGGGGCAGCAGGGGCAGCAGGCCGGCGGAGGCTGGCCCGGGCCGGCCGCCATGTGAGTCCAGGCGGTGCTGCGCAGGCCCAGCAAGTCCAGCAGGCCCAGCACGGCGTCCAGCAGGCTGGTGTGGCCGAGGTGAGCCCAAGGACCGCTCCGTCACGGGATGCACCATGCGTGCGTCGAGCTCCTTGACGCCGTGGTGCATGTCCGCCAGGTCGCTGCCGGGACTGGCACCGCCCCCGCCCCCGGCCGCCGCCGCCCCCTCGCGGCCGCCGCCATGCCGGGCGGGTCCTCATGGGCTGGTGGCGGCGCGTGCAGGCCGCCGCGGGGCGCGGCAGGGCGAGGCTGGCCCGCGGGCTGCGGAGGTGCCACTTCTGGTCCTGGACCCCCGCGCGGCCGCCCACCCCCGCGGCTACGCCAGCGCTAGTCCCGCGGCCACGCCCCGCGGCCCCCGCAGCCCCCGCGGCCCCGCGGCCCCCGCGGCCACGCAGCAGCGGCAGCGGCAGCAAGCGCCGGCCGCCTCCGTCCCCGTCGTCGTGGTGCGGGACGCTGCACCGGTCGCCGCGACGGCCGAGCGCCTCCGAGTTGGCCGTCAGTACGCCATTCCGAGAGCCATTCCCGTCGCTTTGTCTCCCTCGCACTGCGAGAGAGGCCGAGCGACGAAGACGACAGGGGCGTTGAGACTGGGCGGTCTGTGCGTGCGTCCCCTAGGTGCGGCTGGTGTGGTGCGAGTAGGGGTAGGGGTGGTCCCGGCCGTCGTGTCGGCAGAGATGCTGGTGCCGCCGCCGCCGCCGCTGCCCGCCGTCCCCGCCCGCTCCATGCGCCCCCACGCCGTCACGAGGCCGCCGTCGCCGCGCCTCGCCCTCAGCCTGGCCCGCGCCCTGCACCAGATGGGCGCGTGCCCCCTGGAGGACGCCGACGCTTGAGCACGGGACGCAACAGCGCGCAACAGGCAAAACTGCAGACTAGTTTTTTATCTTTCCGTTTTAATTTATTGCGTCACTGGCACACACCCGATTGCGGATAGAAAAAAATAAACAACAACAAGGGAAGGACTTCATACACAGGGAAATAAATAATGGCCACTTTCATGGACACATTTCTACAGACATGGCATTCTGTTAGAACAAGACGTAAAATAGAGTTCAAGCCCACCATAAGAATTGGACCCATAAGCTTTAAGCCTGGACTTAAATTACACAAGGGGCAAGGATTAATTTGTTTTAAAGTTTGCAAATCTTTTTACATTGAGTCACTTTTTAGGATTCAGTAAAACAGCTCACGAGTGCCTTCCCTTGAATCTCAAAACAAGTTGATAATTACATAAAAGAAGGCGACTAAACAACACCATACACACGTCTGTACATACATTCGTTGACAAACTCTTTTAATGCAGGAGGAGATGGTGTTCATACAGCAGAAATATCACAACTCTGGAGAGATCATGAGGAGACCCCAAGGAGACATGCTACACGAATGAGAGAAAACTTAATCTAGGAATAAGTAGCACCACATCTAAAACAGATCACAAAGCATTTTCCAATCTCTACTTTACATTGGAAGAAAAATTAATTTAAACAATTCAACTGCTGCAACCAATATTCAAAACCTACAGCAAAGGCCATTGAGAAAATAGAAGAGAGATACAGTATAAATAAGCTGTAATTTGTTGTGAGAATAAAATATGCATTCATACAGGATTTTGATTAGCTTGTTACACTTAACAGTTCAAATTGTAAAAATTTCAAACATGCCAAACCTTATTTCAGGTAAAATGTGGAAAACTTATATTTCTTTCAATGTACAAAAGGCCAGAGACAAATTTATCTAAGGGAACTAGTATAGCACAGGAGAGATGCAAAACTTCCTCTTTTAGCACAAGTTACATAAATATTTTTACCATTTCACAAAAATATCTAAGAGAATTATTAAGAGAATACTGCACTGTCACCAGTCATATCCCCACATTTACAGTACCTAAGTATCGGCTTACAAATCAGAAATTCGGCTAGACATGATTTGTTATGATATTTCCTTCTACAAATTGATTTCTTAAAGTGGTGTCAGTTGTTTCAATACCTTCACATTAAACAAAACAGGAACACCGCAGATCATCACAATAACATTAACTATTTGGTAATGCAACTTGGAAAGACATTTTCATCACAGTCGGACCTTATAAGATTTCAAGATCACAATGTCTGATCTCTGGATGCTTTGTCTGTATGGAACAGATAAGAATAGTAAGATAAAGCACAACAAATCTAAGTAAAATTAAAGTAAATTTACAATCATACACAATTTTCAAAAATACTTACCCTCAGTTTGAGTTCAATACGATCAATCTCACCACCCATTAAATCTACAATGTTTTCACCATGTTTCACCATAAAACCTTCTAGTTCATCAATGTCTTTAAAAGTTCTTACTTCCTGTAAAAGGAACAAAGATTAACATGTTTGCATATTGATATTTTATTTTCATAACTGAGGAAAAATCTTACATTAAGCATCATTTGTAAATCTTGCTTGTCTAAATAAGACCGGGTTAGTTCTCTTCCATCAAAGTCAATTTCAGCTTTGTACCGAACTAAAAAGTTACCCATATCAATACCCTTGACATCATGGATTGCTCTAACCATCACATCTGATTCCAGCTCAGAGTTGATTTTTTCAAGCTGATCATATGGTATAGATCTGAAATATCGAGAAGCAAAATATATCTTAGTAGACATAAAACACAAAAGAAAAGTTATCAGAATGGAAATTTAGACTGAACACAAAAACTGACCTGCCCACTAATCCAGCCACATTTGAATAAATAATAAAAGATGCAACACCTCCAAGAAGCCCTCCAACTAATAACGAGCCCACAGCATCTGGAATGTGGCTTCCATAGATATGAGTCAGTCCCATACAGGTAGAGCAAACAACTACTCCTAAGACCGCCGCTAGGTCTTCCAGCAGTACAACATTTACACTAGGGTCACGACTTTCAAGAACTGGAAAGAGAAGAGGATGATCAGAATGTTTCTTGGAACCAATGGTCTATAATAAAAATAATGGGACAGAATTCATACTGTATTTTGTGAAAGGCACATTATGCCTTGCTGCTCCTTGACGTATAGCATTCACAGCCATGATTAAGGTGGCCCCCTCTGAGAGGAGGGACCCTCCTAAAATGAAGAAGGCCTGTAATGCAAGATTATTGAAGGTGGTAAGGACCAAGGCATGCATAAACCAAACCCCTGTTAAAAATTTAAAAAAAATATTTGGCCACAATTGGATTTAAATGTCTTACCCAATAAAAGTCCTCAAGAGGAGCAGGATCAACAAGTCCAAGAACCCCATGATAAATAGACAACCCTGTTCCAACACAGAATATACCGACGCCTGAAATCAAGGATGCCACATAGCGCATATTGCTGTACCCATAGGGATGTTCAACATCAGCCCTCTGAAATTGAAATTTCAATATTATTTAAAGTACGAAATGCAATAAACTGCTGTTGAAAAAAAAATATGTTCATTATAGAAGCAACAACTGACCTGAGTTGATTTATATATTCCATAGGCTAAAATAAGCTGATTTATTGTGTCAGCCAGTGAGTGAACACTCTCTGCAAACATACTGTGGGAACCAGTGTACAGCCATGCTGCTAATTTAAATACAAAATTACATCCATTTCTGAAAATTGAACAGGGAGTAAGTGATGAGACATAGAACATTCCAACAAACCAAAAAGTGAGGAGCAGGTAAATTAAAAATAAGCAAACAACAAATCAACTTACATTACAACAGCAGTCATCACCACTCTTCCTGAGGGTCCCATCAACCCTGACTCCTTTGCAAATTCTTCATCTCTCGAATGCTCTCTTTCTTGCATTTTCAAATAGTCTCTGAGCTGTCTCTTGACAGAAAACATATCTGAAAGGTGATATTGCTGTCAGTGAATTTATTTTAAATCAAATGCTCTAAATTGAAACAGTTTCAACCATACTTTGTTGGTAGCTTCTATGCTCCATTTCCCGCCTTACGATTTCATTTATTAATTTTTCTTTGTCACCCCATACTTCATTGGCTCTGAAAATACAGGACAGTTATAAATTCAGCAAGCAATGAAGAGCCAGAAATTATTTTTTGACCTACCTTGATTCAACATCTTTTCTCCAATACACTGTTATGGGAGGTTCGTTCTCAATAGGAGACCTCCGCTTTGTTTTCCTCAACCCATCAAGATCTGAAGGTTTCAAAAGAAAATCTGACATCGCTCTAACAGGAGTAATGAAGTTTCTTTCTAAAGAGGTTTTAGTAAGGTCTACTCTTACTCTCTTGATTTTAACAGCTGGAAGAAGTAGAAGTAGAGCTTAATTTTAAACACCAGCTTGGGGACTTTTGCCACACCTAAGTAACAATCACTTACGTTTAGCTTCTTTCCCTTTATCCTTCTCATTTTCTGGAGGTGTAGCATCTCCCGGTACAGCAGCCACAATCACGATGGGCTCTTCAATGATAATTATCTTGCTGTCCTTAGCCTTCTGTGGTCTGTCTGTGATAACACCATCCTCACTTTCTTCTTTCACAGTTTTCTTAGGACCATCAGTTCCAACAGGTTTATCAGTGGCAGATAAAAGTTGCGACCAAGTGATTGAACGCTTATGCACAACAACAGCGTCTGGAGGGATGACAAAGTTATCTCGTCGAGGACAGTACCCAGAGAGCTTCCTCCTAAAACAATCTGCAAATGCACAATTGGGATTAATATTTCCACATACTCTATTCTATTGAAAACCGACTGTTTAAAAACTTACTTGGTCCAGCAACAATACCCATGTCCTGGGCCATGGCCCATTGATGCCGAGAAGCATTCTTACTGAGAAGAGTAAAAATTTGGCCTGGTCGTAACATCATGTTGCTTCAGGAAGGCTCCCCTCAGGCGAAAATCTAAGACCTGACGAAGACCAAGCATTGAAAATAAAACTGGACAGGCAAAGTCTACAAACAGAATGGTATGATTCAAACAAACAACAAATCTGTATCAACTGTACTGAAACCAACATACCAGTTAAGTGTGCCACTTGACAGCTCTGCTGCACTGATTTCCATCGCTCCCCTATTGCCGCATGGTTGTCACGGCTCCAGCAAGTGTCCGAGAAGCTGGAACAGGGATTCAACACATTTTGACACAGAACAGACGACTTTGTTTAGGTTACGAGGAGGCGACCCGTCGACTCGCAGTGATGTGGGCCGCACAGTATCGTACCGAGACAGCTGAGGGGGAGGTCTCCTAAGGGCTCCACCGAGGACCCGACAAACAGCTTCAGATGAAGCGTTCCAAACCAATCGCAGTCATCAAGTATTTTTCTAGCATTAACCTTGACGAGAGATAATCAGAGCAGTGCAGACAAACATTAAAGCCCCCGATAAATACTTGTATTATTGTATGCATTGAGATTCGAAATGCTTTGGGGCGTTGAGCGAGACTAGCTTGGGCAGCAGATTATGAGAAACTCAGCAGCTAGATGAGCCCCTTTGCGAGACTACTACGCGCCACGGCCCACCGCATTATCTAGAAGGCAGTGCGCCAGTCTGCTAGTTGCTTGCGAGTATGTTTTGCTCTACTATTTATGTTTCCTGCGGATTTAGATGATAGCTACATGGAAAGATGATGGTTCACGGTCAAAATATAAGAATCACACTTTTAGTTGCCGTTATTTTACCATGTCTTGCCGTCGCAACCATCCGTAAATACACCATTGATGATGTGTTCAAGTTTCGGTAAGAAATGGAACACTGACTTGTATTTATGTTTTTTTCTATTTTTCCTTGCTTGCATAGTGCTTTGACTGTCTTTTCTTTTCCTTGTTTAGGGAAGAAGTGAGGGACATGTTCCAACATGCATATGACAGCTATTTGCATCACGCTTATCCGTACGATGAATTGCGACCACTCAGCTGTGATGGTGTTGACACTTGGGGAAGGTGAGTGTGTCTACCTCGTTCTCCCCTAGATTTGACGAAACCGGTTCTGTTTTTAATTTTTCTACTGCTATGTTTATTTTGAATTATTTTTCTTTTCAGTTACTCCCTTACATTGATAGATGCTTTGGACACACTAGCTGTCATTGGTAACTTCTCAGAATTCCGACGTGTTGTGAAGATTCTTACCAAAAAGCAAAATTTTGATGCCAACATAAATGTTTCAGTATTTGAAACAAATATACGAATTGTTGGAGGATTACTCAGTGCACATCTTCTCTCCCACAGGTTTGCTCTTGCCTTAGCCCCTGGGCTGTGAATTGTCACCTCTTACTCTCCTCTTGACTCAGTATTAATGTGCTTGTGTGTAATTATAGAGCTGGTGTTGAGCTGGAACCTGGTTGGCCTTGCAATGGTCCTTTGCTTCGTCTCGCTGAAGATGTTGGAAAAAGACTTCTTCCAGCCTTTGATACACCAACTGGCATGCCCTATGGCACTGTGAACCTCCGACATGGAGTGCCTCCAGGAGAAACAACAATCACCTGCACAGCAGGCATTGGCACATTTATCCTAGAATTTGGTACTCTATCCCGTTTAACTGGAGACCCAGTCTATGAGGAGGTGAGCTGTCATTTAAAATGTTCAAATTTGTCTAAACTTAAATTAGAGTGAGATATCACTTATTCATATTTGGTGTCTTCAGGTGGCAATGAACGCTCTCCACGCTCTGCGCCATTATCGCTCATCAATAGGTCTAGTCGGGAACCACATCGACGTTGCTACTGGAAAGTGGACAGCCCTTGATTCAGGGATTGGTGCTGGCGTTGACTCTTACTACGAGTACCTCGCCAAAGGAGCGGTGCTTCTTCAGCAACCATCACTCATGAAGATGTTTGAAGAAAGCCGAGCAGCGATCGATCGCCATCTCAAGAAAGATGACTGGCATCTTTGGGTGACGATGACAAAGGGCCAAGTCACCCTTCCAGTTTTTCAGTCTTTAGATGCATATTGGCCAGGAGTCCTCAGTATTGTTGGTTAGATTCATTTTTTTTCAAGTTCAATTATAAGGTGTAAAATTAAATTCAGCTTAACCATTGACCTGAATGAAACTTTCCAGGTGATATATCATCTGGAATGAAGTCCCTGCATAACTACCATCAAGTTTGGAAACAGTTTGGTTTCACACCAGAATTTTATAATATTCCTCAGGTTTGTATATAATTTAGTTTTTAATTTTTATAGCTAGTGTGATATATTTTTCTCACCTCTGCACATTTCTATGTCAACAGGCTGAAGTCGGAACTAATCGTGAGGGCTATCCATTAAGGCCTGAACTTGCGGAATCTGTCATGTACTTATCTAGAGCAACGGGAGATCCTTTCTTGCTGGAGGTTGGTGTTGACATTCTACGAAGCATCCAGCATAGTGCTCGCACTCCTTGTGGCTATGCAACTGTAAGTTAATTCAAACCTGCAAGTACTGAAACAGTAACTCACTTAGGCATCTTTTGACAGCAGGCTTCTTTTTCCCTCTGTTTAGATTAAAGACACCAGAGATCATCGGCAAGATAATAGAATGGAATCATTTTTCTTGGCAGAGACCACCAAGTATTTGTATTTGTTATTTGACCCTGATAATTTTATTCACAATCGAGGTCAGCATGGCTCGATAGTGAAAACACATTGGGGAGAGTGTATTATGGAGGCTGGTGGATATGTGTTCAACACAGGTAATAATGTTTACTTATAACCTTAGTGATATCCAAACTGTACAAATAGTATGAAATTCTTACAAATCTTTTTTTTATTTCCCTTGATTTTGTAGAAGCACATCCATTTGATGCTGGTGCTTTACATTGCTGTAGTAAGACGAAAGACCACCCTTTCATTCTTGACCTCGATTCATTCCGAGGTGAAACTTTACATACTCATCAAAAGCGAGAGGACATGAAAAGACGTGTTGATAAGCTGAGGCGTGAAAAAGAGGCACTGGAGCAGAAACTCAAATTACTGACGGAGAAAAAAGAAGCCATTGGTGAGTACAAGTTTTTTTTTTGTAGGGACACATGAAAGTCTATTGTGTAAAATTTCATATTTTAGTACTAATGTTGTATTTTTTCAATTTTTTTTTTTAAATTATAGTTCAACTAAGCAAATCACTGGCAGCTGTGGCAAATGCCCTTCCTGCTCCAAATCTAGTCCTGAAGGAATCAACTCCTAAATCAACTCCTAAATCAACTCCTGAATCAACTCCCAAATCAAGTCCTAATTCTACTCCTAAATCAACTCCTAAGTCAACTCCTAAGTCAACTCCTAAATCAAAACCAAAATCAAAAGCTAAATCAAAACCTAAATCAACTCGTACTTCAGATAAAGGTGTAGAGGCGATTGAACATTTCAATGTTGGCAATGGTGAGATTGTGGAAGTGAAGTGGTATGCACATCCTGGAAGTGAAGATGTGTGGAATACCGATGACGAGAGTGAAACTGAGGAATCGGACTCTGAGAGTATTGATGGCGGAGAGGAGATTGGTACTAATGTGTTTGTGACTTATCAAACAGAAGGTAAAGAAACCAAAGAAAATGTTGAGGATGAAGACATTATTCATTCCGATGAGAAGCTTGAAACTGCTTTTGAAAGTATACCCCATTTTGACAGAGATGGGGATCATAATGAGAAAGTGTCAGCCACAAACGAGGATAAGAAAAATCCATCTATTGTCACAAAGTCACCTTCCAGTAACTACGTGAAAAGTGCGCCTGCACTACAAGAACCTCCTGCACTCCCAGATGTGTCAGGAGTGTCTTCATTATTAGAAGCTCTTGATTCTTTATTCACAACTCAAAAGAAAAAGGAGAATGCGCCAGAGAAAAAGCCATTTGATCCTCAAGATTTGCTGACTAAAATTAGGTATAATCCACAGTATTTTGTTAATAGTTCATGGATAAACGCATATGAGTGTTTGTCATGTGATCTTCAGCCATTCCTACAAAGATGGTCCATGTCAGGCGAATTCTTTACTACTTAATGGTGGAACTAACACCTGACTGATAAAGTAAATATTATTTTGCTCCAAAGACTTTGCCCCTTAATGAAGACTGTTTTCAGTTGTATTATGTAGAAACATCTCTCCCATTTCTTTTTCAATGTCCTTACTGAGCATAGAAGGTGCATCTCTCCTGTGGTCATTCAAGTACCAAATTACCCAGTCTTTTTAAGTTTTTTTCCCCCCCACTGCCCCATTTTAGAGGAATAGCATTTGCTATGGTAGTTTATGCATGAATTTTTTTTTTCAATGACCCTGTTCTTTTTGCATTTAGTTCATTTGTGCAAGGTGCTTAGGGGTTGTTCTCTTGCCCTCCTCATGCACTGTCTGAAAGGCAGGCATGGTACCTAGTAGTATGGCTGTGTTAGGATCAAGTCTTCAGAAGATTTCAGTGTGTGATGATAGCTTAAGGAATTTACTGACAGCATTTTGAATGTTGAACAGCGTTTTGTTTCCTTTTTTTGTTTGTTTGTTTGTTTGCTTGATTTGAATGAATTTTCTTTCTCCAAGTGATCTTTGTTATTTTGTGTGAAAGAATGCAATGTAACTCACATGTTTTTCTGGTCTGTTATTGTTGAAGCATTTAATTTAATGAATGTTATTTTGAGTTGGTAATGTGAAACAAATTCTTAAAATGCATATGATAGAAATATTATTTATTTTTTGAGAGTTTTATGTACAAAGCATACTTGAGTTATTTATCATTATTGGTTAACTCTATGTACAAAATTTGTAAATACATATATATTTACTTGCATCATGTAGAAAAAATAATTGATTTTCAACTTTAAAACAAAATCAGCATTTTGGATTTCACGAAATTAGTTTCAGCTCACGTCCTATAGCAACAAAGGCATCCACACAATAATCAATGTCTTCCTCTGTGTGGGCTGCCGAAATTTGGACTCGGATTCTTGCCTTCCCATGTGGGACGACTGGGTAGCTGAATCCTACTACATACACTCCTCTACCTGTAGTAAACACAACATTAAGTATAACATAATGTGACTTTTCCTTTAGATGGTTTTGAAATGGGATTGTCCTTACCCAACATTTTCTCAGCGAATTGTGCTGCAAGTGCCGCGTCACCAATCATGACCGGGCAAATAGGGTGGTTGTCCCCTGATATCGTGAATCCAGCTGCCTTCATCATCATCCTGAACTTCTCTGTCCCTGTCTTTAGTCTGGATATCAGTTGGTTTGGCGACTGCAGTAGGTCAAACACCTGCAAATCAATTTTTAAATCATTTTGCAGTAGAAAAAGAACACTAGCAGTTCTAGTAAGGCTTGTCACTCAAAACTGTCTCATGCTTCCTTTTTTTCCTACCTTGCTGGCTGTTGCTGTAATAGCTGGTGGAGGAGAGTTGGAGAACAGGTATGGGCGAGATCGCTGTCTTAAAAGCTGAATCAATTCAGTACTTCCTGTTGTGTAGCCACCTGCTGCCCCACCAAGGGCTTTTCCCAATGTTGAATTAATAATATCAATCTTTCCACTTATTTCATGGTACTCTTCAGTTCCTCTAAAAAAAGGGGGGGGGGGGCTTAATTGCAACTCTCCAAAGATAGCAAATAGATGCGCTCTGCAATCATTTGAAATTATTACCGGCCAGTGCTTCCATAAAACCCTGTAGCATGGCATTCATCGATGAGGGTCAAGGCGCCATATCTCTCTGCCAACTCAACGATTTGTGGGAGAGGTGCCACAGTGCCGTCCATAGAGAAGACACCATCTGTGACAATCAGTTTAATCCTGCTGCTTGAACTGTCTTTCAGTTGCCTCTCTAAGTCTGAAAACAAGATATGAATTTTAAAACAGGTTCCCAAGAGCAGGTCCCAATGATAAATAGATTGCTTTTTTAAAATTCACCTTCCATATCTCTATGTTTGTACCGGTTCTTTTTTGCTTTGCACAAGCGAATTCCATCAATAAGTGAAGCGTGGTTGAGTTCATCTGAGAAAACTGCGTCTTCAGGCCCAAGTAAAACTTCGAATATTCCTGCATTCGCATCAAAGCAGCTTATGTATAGAATGGCATCCTCTCTGCCATGGAATTTTGCAATTTTCCCCTCAAGCTCCTAAAGAAAGGAGGGAAAAAAATTTAAGTACTTGACCTGTTGCAGTAATTTCTGAATTTAAATTTTCATCTTACCTTGTGAATGTCCTGGGTGCCACAGATAAAGCGAACTGAGCTGAGGCCAGCTCCATATTTGTCAAGAGCTTCTTTAGAGGCTTCTATGACTTCTCGATTGTTCTAAATAAGACAAGAAAATTACCCATTACATATTGGCTACACAACATGTATCAGACATACACAACAACTCAGTACTTACTGCAAGACCGAGGTAATTGTTAGCACAAAAGTTTAGGATGGGAGATTTGACATTTTGCACCCTGACTGCAACTTTCTGGGGCGTTTGAATTATACGCTCTTCCTTCCATGTGCCCGCAGACTTGATTCCACCCAGAGTTTCATCCAGGATTTCCTTGAGTTGCACTTGTGCGTGTGAGAGCCTGCTCTGCTGCAGGAACAGGAGGGCAGAGCGCTGCTGCTGAATGGACCCTGCAACACAGGCAAGGACCGCAAGGACCAAGGGCATGAGCACCCTGAGGTACCTGAGGTAGGCAAGGTAGGCAACCCAACCATCACCCCAGCTGACTGGGATACAGGCTCAAAGTGAGTCACCGAGGACGTGACATCGTTATCTCGACTTGTCAAATTGCAAACAGACGACGAAAAGCGAGATCAACACGAGCTGTCATTGGCTCAGGACCATTCCAGGATCATCACGATCGAGGTGCCTTCCAGTGGGCCAGAAGACCGGTGGAGGCGTCTGGAGTTTAGGCCGCCTGCGCCGGTCCTCTGGCCCACTGTAAGGCACCCAGCTACTCTGGAGAACGCCCCCTGCGTCCGCCCCTTTTTCTGGTGGAGGCGCGTCCTCCCCGGAACGGCAGAACTAGCAGTGGCCATGCTGGTAGAGGCACCACGCTGCGGTACTCACAGCTGCGTCGAAGCATGGCGGCGCGTTGACGGGCAGGTGCAGACGGTGTCCGGGGCCGCGGGGCCGCTGCCGGTGGCGATGGCGACTGAGCACGCCGCGCTGTGCACGCTGTGCGTCCCGCGAGGATAGCGTGATTGTAAATTCGTGGCCACGATAAAAGCGAAGCCGGGCGGAGCGGGGAGCGAGGACTCTAGAGCGAGGCGGACACAACAACAACAGGTGGGAAGTGACTACGACTCACTCGCCAGCTCCGAGTCCCTAAGGCCGTGTAGTGCCGCGCCGTCCCGGCTAGTCCATAGCGACAGGGGCGGCCAGGGTGGGGGCAGGGGGGGCGGCAGGGGGGCGGCAGGGGGGCGGGCACGCAGCCAATGGCTACGCAGACGAACAGGTCGCGACGGGCCGAAAGAAGTAAAGAAAACAACACCACATCCTGTCAAGGTCAAATGTGTGTTGCCGGCTGGGTGCGTCCCGGCGCGCCGGAGTACCGCGGGGAGGGGGGAGGGGGCCCCTCCGGTGTGGGGTCCCAGTAGAGAGGGAAGTGGCCACGTTGCACTACGTTGCACCGGTGCATTCGCTCCGTCTCCCTCGCGCCCTTGCTCGTCTCCCCGCGAGTGGGAGAGAGACAGCGAAGCGTTCGGAAAGAGCCTGCTGCACCACTGCACCGCACCTCCCACCTCACCGGTTACGCTACTATGCGGCGCGTTACGTGTGTCTGCGGTGGGGACGCCGGACCTAGCCGGACCCGGTCGCGCTGCCTCTCTCGCACCCGCATGGAACGCCTCACAAGAGTCACAAGTGCGACAGAGACAGAACGCCACTCTCAAAATGAATCTACAGCTTACACGTCTTACGACTGTACCTGGGCCCGTCCGGGCGGCCGCTACGCTGCACTACGCCCGGCTGGTTCGGCCTGGTTCGGCCTCGCGCGGCATTCACAAGAATGCCGTCGCTGATGATGGGCGTCATGGGGTTGGGAGACGCCCTCACAGTGGATTTGCCGGAAGACCGGTGGAGGCGGCCAAAACTCTAGAAGTCGCTTAACGGGACTCGAACCGAGCGTATCTACACAGCCGACTTGACCGACTTGGACTTAAACGGCTGCACCGAGCGCCTGCGAGGTAGGCCACCCTTCGTCCCGCCACACACCGGCGTGGAGACGGTGGCCTGCCTCGCCCCTGTAAGGGGGCCGGTTAGGCCGCCGTCTCCACACCGGTGTGTGGCGGGACGAGGGTGGCCTACCTCGTAGGCGCTCGGCTGGTGTCTCCCTCTTTCAGCAGTGTAGGCGGCGTCCCCGTCCTCGTGTCCTCGTCACGGTGACGTGCCGTCTACAGCCCACGGTTCATTCGTCGTTGCGCCTCGCGAGCGGCATGGATCGTGGAGTGGCACGCAGACTGCGGAGTCCTTCCACTTCCGAGTACATTCGTGATCGGGCATTAATCAGTTCTAATCAGTCCGGGCTATCCATTCGCACCCATCAAGAAAACGGCCCCGTCATAAAAAGGTCAAATGTGGTCCTTGATTGCTCCAACACTCTTTCAACATGCTTTCCATCGAGAAGTCCCATGCTCACACGAGTCAGTCCGTTTTTTGAAATTTAGCGCCTTTTGCTGAGATTGGTCGCACTGGGTGATTTTCGCGCCATCAGCGCCATCTAGCGGCGCGCATCGGACTTGGCGGCGGCAGCGAGAGCGAGCGAGGCGAGATCAACTCCAGCAGACTCCGCTGTTTCTCGTGTTCTTTGAGAGCGAAAATGCCTGGGCTGTCTTGAAGGTGCCGCGTTAAGCTAACGCTGGTTTAAAACTGTGAAGGAACTCAGTTGGAACTGGGAACGCGATGTAGGGTGCCAACAAGGTTCTCCCATTCTTTGACAGTCTTTGACAGCCCAGCCCGCCAAGCCCTCCTCCCTTGTCTGCTCTGTCTGCTGTCATTCAATTCACTGGTGGGGTAGTCCCGAAAGGGGGCACAACGACATAGTGGTTTACACCGGCCAAGAAAAGCAGTTTCCTCGCTCCAGAATTTAAGCTAGAAGATGGACGAGTGCGAAGAGGGGGAAATCGTGGACTTTGACGACGATGTAAGTCCACGTTGTTCGTAAAGTGTTCGTTTTAACCCTCTGTTCAATGGTCTGTTGAATGCTCGGATTAGGTTAAGCCCTTCTCAAAGTTGTTTACTAATTGAGAAGCCTTGATAACAACAGACCACTGAGGGGAAGTCACAAGAAATAACTAGTCAGCGTTCACTGCTCACTTGTAGCATATGCATCTATTGGGTGTGTTGTTAAATTAATTTTTGTTTTTCCATTGTGGGTGCAGGATGAGGTTTACAGACCCCTGGAGCGACCTTCCCGGCCCGACCCCGCTGTGCAAGTGCAACGACCAAGAATCGTTGAAAGTGATTCTGAGGATGTCAGTGATAGCAGCTCAGACTCAGATTCTGACTCTGGACCCAAATCGGCAAAGAAGCGAAAGGTAGCTTGCTGTTTCGTGCTGTGCAGTAACTTGCTTGAACGTGAATTTATATTCATTGCTCATTATGTGTACTGATGTGTCTTGATTGTTCATTTAGATGCACAAGGTGAAACCACCTCATCAGTCCAGGCGAGATGGTCCCCCAGCTGGGCATAGTGGCGCAAGAATCCGGAAAAATAATGTGTGGACCGCAAGCGTTCAGGAGGAGACTATTATTAATGATTTAGAAAATATTGACGGTTTGCAAAAGTACTCTCGTGAGCGTGGAGTTGAATCTTATGATTTTACTCTAAATCATGACAGGTGAGTTAAGAACAAGTATCTTTGAAGGTTTTGAGACATGATCTGAGCACTGAGTACTAAAACATCTTTCTCTCCCTCATAGAATGTCTGATGATGATAATCTTAGTAATAATGATGAGGCCAATGAGAAGCAAGAACCAGATAATATGAATGATGATATGTCATTGGACTCTAATATAGACTTAAGAAGTAAACTATCCAATAAAAGACGTTTTGATGAAAGGGGTAGTGTGAAACAAAGGCTTGGAAGACGCCCAAGTCCATCTGACCTTCCCTCTGATGTTGATGATAGGTTATTGCAACGAAAGATTATTCCAGACTTGATCACATCAACCACAGATTCTGTTGATGAAATAGCAAGAAACATGGCCAAAAACTTGCAAGAAACCAAGGAAGAATTGATTGGTACGGGACCTAGTTGAAGTATCCACTGTCAAAGGTGGTAAGCTTGTTACTTAAATACTTACTAATCCATTTCACTTTCTTGCAGTGCGAATATTAAACATACTGGGGAAGGATAGAGCATTTTCAATATATGAGCATACACAGAGGATAGAGTCTGAAGGGGGGATGCTAATAATGGTGAGACCACATTTTTTTTTTGTTAACTATCAGTCATACTTTATTTCTTCTATTCCCTTACAATATCTGTTGTATTTTTAGAATGGATCTCGGAGAAGATCAGCAGGAGGGGTATTCTTTTTTCTGGTGAAGAATGATGACACAGTTTCTCAAGAAAATAGGCGGTTAATATTTGAGGAGGATACCAAACTCAATGCGAAAGAAATTCGAAAGCATCGTAGAGCAGCTCGGAAAAAGCAACTTGAGAAAGAGAGAAGAAAACTCTCTGATGGTGGGTTTGCCCTACATCCTGCATGTTCATCACCCAATTATCTATTGTTGTAATAAACACATTCTTTGTTTTGCAGACATGGCCCGAAATGCTGATTTGCCCAGTCTTCTTACAAGAGCAGAACTTGTTGTTCAGCAGGGAACTGCTATGAAGAGCAAGAACAGTGATGGTAGTGTGAGTAACCCTCCCCCATCTCCTGCTACTGACAATAGGGGCGAAAGTTCAAATGACAGCCCTCCTAGCCCTCCTCAACAAATATTAATTCCACCAAGTAATCGCCACATTGCAGATTATGATGATGATTTCCTTGATATTAATGCAGAGGACATGGATGAGTTCTAAAAATTAACTTTATCTTTCTAACAAAGTCTGCATCACGCTTTATCATCACATTGAGTATCATGTCTACAAACTTCCTCAAAATTCTATTTTCATGTATCATGAATCTAACCATGTACATAATGTATACAGTAATGAATAAAAATAAATGATTAGGACATTGAACTTTTTGTTTATTATTTTTTTAAAGATTTATCAGTTTATGAAAACAGTTTTTGATTTAAAACACATTACAAATGCATCAATATTTTCTTGAAAAGCAGATGGGATACATGACAAAAAAAAGTAAACAACTTTCTCCATTGAACAACATGTTGAGAGCACTTTGACCAGCTTCAATGATTGGACCGAATCCAGCTCGGCCAAAAATATACAATAAATACAAGGATAACAATGTCTATTCAACAGAGTATTTATCCTGAATTGGAACACACTCTTGTTTGAGTGAAGAGGATAAGCCTTGAGCACAGCTCTGCGTTGATGTCGGATAGTTGCATTAGCCGCACAAAAGGACAAGGTCAAAACGTCAAGACGATTGAGCACCATACACAGGGCACTACACACTTGCACACAGCAACAAAATAAAATTAAAAAAATGGCAAGGTAAATTCTTAGAAAGTGTCCAAAAGCTGATTTCACAAACCCACATTAAGGTAAGCTACATAAAATCATCCAAATCATCATAATCATTAGTCAAATCGCTGGTCAAATCCTGAAAAATAAGCAAAAATGAAAATTTAAATCTAATGCCAAGGCAAATAAAAGAGACCTTTTTCATTGAACCAAGAATACTTACATTGTCCATTTTCAATTTAGCCCCCTTGAACTTGCCACCCTTCTTTTTACTTGTTGCAGCCTTATCCATTTTCCCCTTTTCAATAGCAAGGGAGGTCATGTTTGAGCTAAGCTTCTTTAAATCTGCAGCAGGTACTGAAGAAAAAACAAGAGTCCATTAGAACAATAAATACGCAGAAAACTACGGACATGTTGAAAAGTGTTCAATACTCACAATTTACAACAATTTTCTCAATGAGTTCAGTGACAAATTCAACATAGTGTTCCTCCTTGGATAGGTCATTGACCTTGGAGACTATAGCTTCCCTTAGTGAGTCAAATTCCTCTTTACTACTGGGGTTGATACCATCAATTGAATTTGAGGTACCTGGAAAAACAGGAATTTGTTAGAGGCAGTTAAGGGTTATATTAAACCCAGCACATGATTACACGAATGTGTACCCTAAGTCCACTAGAGTCAAGGCTTTTTGTGCAGGGAACATGGTTCAGCTTCACTATCAAGCCCAGGATTATCTTTTTTGGACCACAGTGACACGTGCATTCTCAAACAAATGCATTCAACAATATTGAAATGATAGATGAGATTCAAAGAACATCTTTCCCATGTGTTCACCAGCAGGGGATTTTGTGTTCATAAAAGGAAGTGCAATTTCATTGGAATTTTTGGATTTAAGATATGAAATTTTAAAAAAATTGAATAAGGACAATCTATTAGACACCAAAAGAAATAAAACAAGAAGCAGCTTTGACAGTAATAATAATAGAGATCGTTTAATTTCATCACAAAGCAATTACAGCTCTCATGGCAATTGAACAACTGGTTCCATTGTACAGTTAGAGTATAGGGAAGTGAAATAGTTGTGAGAAACTAAAAAAAATACTTTACATCAAAGGATACTATGTGAAAGATACACTTAAATATATAGGAATACAGTCTCCAATTCTCCTTCACAGGCATTACTCTATTAAAAAAAAAAAAAAACTATCTTTAACAACCTTACTGTAATCAGACTGCTTCAGTAAATTTAAAAAATGTGCTAGGTTGCCCAAAATAAAAAGGGAAAAACAAGTTAAGACCCAAATAATGACACGATTTTATCAAGAGTCAGTTGTGACAGTTAAAAAAAAGTACTGAAATGGTGATGTGAGACAGTTTGACACTTAAGACCACAAAGTCGGCGAATCAATAACTTCAAAAATGTGCAGATGGCCCATTCAAACTAACTTTCATTTCATGCAGTAGTCAATCACTTATTTTGAATACTACATGCGGTCTTAGTCCCTTTCAGTATCATAGCACACAAATATTCGACGTAAATCTATGAGGTGGCTAAGGCATCCCATCTTCAAAGGGTACATTCATTGTATATAGAGAATCTGATTTTGTTATGTAAAGCTTGGCAGCATCTTCTACAATAATATAGTTACTGGTAAGGATAAATGTTTAGAATCTCAATACTAGTTAGATAGACAACATTTATCGGTATTATACTGAAATTCAAACTTAATAACTTCCCTTGCGTTAATGGACACATGAAAAGCTTCAACATGGATCACACCCACCACAGGACAATTTGCATGCAGTAACCCAATCACTACAGTACCAACAACCCTGTGATCATTATAACAATAAATATAAAGGCAGGATAAAAAAAGGCAGACAAATATAAAAATAATGACTCTTACAACGGAAAGAGTCCATCAATTATATTAAAATCAGAACCAATCCAAACAGGTCTGTCTACAGAGGGAAGTCTCAAACTACCTATTTGCTTCAGAACTTAAAGAATGATTTGATCACAGAATAAAAGTGCATAAGGCTGTAAGTCCTTTCCTGCTGTTTATGGCTGAGGACGCAGGATTAACCTGACAAAATCAAATACAAATTTAGAATGAAACTGAACCACCACACAAAAAGCACAAGTAATTCAAGAATTTTAAGCACTCTGGACTTACACAAAATTTAAGGTCAGATTTAGGAAGTTTCACTTGTGCAAACAAAAACATTTAAGAAATAACACCTCCCACCAAGTTTACTCACCATATGTGGCTTTGACAAGCTCAAGCTCGGACTCTTCTTGTAATTTTCGTTGACGTATTTTTTCTGCCTGAAGTTCAGCAGGAGTGAGGTTCCGCAACTGCTGGGCACGTTCTTTTTCCAGCCTCTGAAAATGATTGAATTCAAATAGCAATTTCAGAATAGCTTTGTTTATGATTAAGGCATGATGAGCAGATGAAAAATGTTTGATTCTTGTCAAATTCAATAGATAACTTGGAAACAAGGAAAGTATTACACTCAAGGAAAGTAATGTGACCACATATCATGAAGAAATAGGCAATGAATGAAGTAGCAAAATTTACCTCCTTTTCTTCAGCCATTTGAATCTTCTGGGCCAAATTTTTCTGAGGCTTCTTAGAGGCGGCTGATTTTACAGGTTCTGGAGGTTTCTCTGAATCCTTCTTTTCTTCTTCATCATCGTCTTCCCAGTTGTCCTGCGACATATGAACTCAGTTAGCCTCACTGGCTGAACAAAAATCGACAATAAGCATATCTTCAAAAATTGACTTGTAAACCCGTCTGTGAAGTGGAATCAGTTTTTCATAAAGAGGGTAACAACAAAACAATCCTTATCACTAAAATGGCAATGATACTGGTAAACTTCCGCGCCCACAGAAGTTAGGCTAGTTTAACATGTGCACAGCAGGAGACGTCAAAAGCAATGTTGTGACAGGGTTAAATTGACTAGCGGCGCTCCGAGGCTTGGACGCGTGCCTGCTCACGATAGACAGAAGACTTCCAGAGGGGTTTTGACGAGGATTTTGAACGAATTCCAGAAACATATGTGTTGAAATTACCTTCACATCTTCATCCTCGTCCTCACCCTCCCATTTGTTGACGGCCGCAGTCTTCGGAATGGTGGGCTCCGGGGGCTGATAGTTGTCAGCGTCTGGAGAGCAACAAATCCGCGATTAATTCATTCTGTTCGTCATACACAAATCACCAGGAATTACCAAAATGTAGCGATAAAAACACATACCCCAATCGTCCATGGTGGGGCCTTTCACGTGAAACGCAAGCGAGTGCGGAGGAGAACTGACAACTGACTGCGAAAGATCAGTATGAAAAATAAACAAGACCATTAGTCCCTCCCGCGTGTTGGCCATGAGAACTTCATGGAAGAAGCCAGGGTTTTCATTTTATCCCCCCCCCAAAAAAAACTGCCTTAATGCTTTTTCAACAAAATATGTGTTGCGTTAAAAGCGCGATCACTCGCAGTCAGCGAAGTCATTTGGGAGCATTCGATGAAGAGGGGTGCGTAGACAACCATCAAGGGGTGGTAGTGGAGACGAAGGCCTGACCACTACTCGCACCGAACGCCGACCAGGCCTCGGGTAGGCAACCCAGGCAACCCCTCCAACGCGCAGCGCAGCGGTCAGTAAAGGTGCGTGACAGCCGTCTCAGAAACTCGGAGTTCCGGGAAGTGCGCCCAAAAAGTGGTCCAAAATTCCCTCGATGCATCGCCCTTTCGGCAATATCTTTGCTTGCAAAAAGCTGGCTAGGCCACCCTTTCGAGACTGGTGCGTGAAGGGAATATCCCGCTAGCCTGGTGCCGCAGGTTCTAGGGGCTGTGCCGCTGTGCCCTGGACTCGCAGTCGAGGAGCCCACCATGCAAAGTCGCCGTTCAGTGAGCCGGGCGGGCGCAGCACGCGGACAGAGGCTACCAGTGGGTGGGCAGCAGCCCCCGGGCGTGCTGGCGGTGCTGGCGGTGCTCGGCGAGCCGGGCGTGGGGTGGCTGGCGGGGGGAAGGGTGGGGGTCGGGACGGGGTGGAGGGCGGGGCAGGGTGGAGCAGGGCGGAGTCTCTGGGGCCCAAGTCAGTGTAGTGCAGTTTCGTGTACACATTAGTCTTGATTTCGGCGGGCCGAGACAGCCGAGCGACCGAGCCGAGCCGAGCCGAGCCGAGCCGGAGGGCAAAAAGCATCGCACTGCGAGGAAAGCAGCGATGAAGCTGCGAGGAACCGGGAAAAGGGGATGGATGCACGGGGAGGGTGCTGTGGTCACTGGCGCGGGGGCGGAGCGGGGGAAGAGGGGGGCAGAAGTAATAACAGTCGCTTGTGCACAAAGGCAAAGGAGTATTCGTTCTTCCTGTCTCAAGCTGCGAGAGCTGCGAGGAAACGCAGGGCAGAGTGGAGGGCAGGCAGAGGGGGAAGGTGGCGCGCCAGCGAGCTTTACGTATGGGGTCCACTAAGGGCAATAAGGCTTGCTTAAGGCTCAACAAACATCCGGCGGGTTGAACCCCGGCCTGCCAAAGGCACCGTCCTAAGGCACCGTCCTAAGGCACAGTCCTAAGGCACAGTCCAGAGGCCGTGCCCGAAGGGTTGCCTACCACGGGTCGGCGCGCAACCCCCGGTGCAACCTCCCCCCTTTCTCCTGCCCTGGTCTCTCTCTCTCTCTCTCTCTCTCTCTCTCTCTCTCTCTCTCTCTCTCTCTCTCTCTCTCTCTCTCTCTCTCTCTCCCTCTCAATGAGTGCGAGAGAGACAGATGGCCAGGTGAGCGGCCAGGTGATGAGGCACTAATCACGAGCAGGCACACCACACCGAGCCACACCTGCACCCATAATGCACTGCAGCCAACACACTCAAACCTCAGCGTTGTAATTTTTTTGGGAGGGAGGGTAAATGTTTGCGTCGCGAAAAAAAAAGTCTAAAGAAAAAACAAGTACGTATAGAGTCAAAAGCTATATTTTTGCCAGTACACAGAGTCAAGTTTTTCTCGTTGGTGTTTTGTGTGGCGTCATCCGGAAGCGTTTCCCGGTAGTCCGACCGATTCGGTCAAGGCGTTTGGCATTCGCTTGGCGCGGATATTCGAACCGAACCGCGCGGTGCAGGGCTGCAGGGCGATGCAAGATTTGCATGACAATGCCTGGCGCGGGCAATATGCTGGCAATACGCTGGCCGGGCCGCCGCCACGCCGCCACGCCACCGCAAGGCGACGATCCGCTTGTAGCTATTATTTACTTTTTGATTAGTGTTATTAGACGGTGGTAAGCCGTTCGGAATGAGTAGTCGTGTTGGCTAATCCCTCTGACCGGAGAGGGTGCGGCGTGCGGCCCGCCTGGGGGAGGGAGACGTCGCTACACCACGCGGCGGGCGGGGCGGGGCGCGGCGGGGCGGGGCGGGCTCCGCGCCGATCGAGGGGCAAACTTTGATGCCGAGGTGAGTCTGAGGCGAGGCATGATTGAATGCCAGGCCCCTGCCAGAGCTCCTGCTCCCCTGGCTCGCGAGGCCCGCCCGGCCGACGGCGCTCCGCGACTAGGATCAGCCAGCCCCAAGTGTCCTCACGGTCCTCACGGCCCTCACCGCGGTCCTCGCAGGGAGAAGAGAGCGCCCTCAAGGCTCACGGAATTCCGGGCCTCTGGGGCTCTGTCCCGCCGACGGCATTTTGACTGTTGGCACGAAATTAAATCACAGATGCATTAATAAATTCATATTGTTGTGATTTCGAGTTCGCCGGGATGGTGGTACGATTGGTGGAGTCACACGTTTGGTTCCTGTTTAGCGACTCTGGAGCTCAAAACGCGTCTAGAGTTTTGGCCGCCTCCACCGGTCTTCTGGCCCACTGCGCACCGCCGTCAAATGGGACGACTCTCCTCGCCACCTTAGAGACGCGGCCACTGAGCGAAGGGGCGGGCGAGCTGACGCCCCCCCCCCCCCCACCACTGCCGCCGTCTAACGAGGGTGCTCCCCCATCCACCGCCGGCCCTAACAGAACATGACAAGAAAGTGTTCACCAATTTACTTCATTTACCGAGACTCGGCGCGCAAATCAAATCAGTTTCAGCATAATTGATCCCCCCACCCCCGACGGGCTCCCTCCCATGGTTCCCACGCGCCCCCCTCCCCCTCCACCACTGGCAGTGTGGCAGTGCACTGGCACCAGCGAGCAGGGCGGTCGGCCCTTTGCTCTCTCTTTGTGTGTGTGTGTGTGTGTGTGTGTGTGTGCGTGTGTGTGTGTGGGTGGGTGCTGGCGCCACGCGCTGCCTTGCCATGGTTGCATTGCACACCGACAAACCGCGAGGAGGAAGGCCAATTGGGATGATAAAGTCTACACAAATAAAACCCTAAAAAAAAAATCCACTAAAATGTGCGATGTGGCCGTTGCGTAAAAACAAAACAAGCAGCTACGCGATGGTCAGTTTGCGCCTAACCTCTCCCAATGCCAAACCGGTTCGCTGAATCGGGTTGACGGCGTGTCCTCAAAAAACAGGGGGTGAAAAAGAGGGGGCTGGGGGCTGTTGGGGCGCGGCGGGGCGGGGCGGGGCGGGGCGGGGCGGGCGGGCGGGTCGCGGCGTTCTCCGCCCCACAGCATCCTGTGCCCGCTATACTGCGGCCCAAATTGACGCAGATGAGAAGATATTGCGGAGTGGAGATTCTGCCCCCGCTCTCTCTCTGCACGCCTCCCCCTGTCTCCCTCCCTCTGCAGCCCCCTGCTCTCCCCCCTCCTCCCCTCTCCCTCCCGCCGCCGGCTCCTCTGTGCCCCTTTGTCCCTCGCGCGAATTCTTACCGCCTGCCCCCTCTTCCCTCTCACTCTCCTTGCTCTCCCGTTTCCCTGCCTCGCAGCAAAGATAGCCCACGATTGAAAATAAAAATAAAAAATAAATAAAAAAACAAACAAATGGAACAGAAATGGATGGGGATTGAACTACACGGAACGTTTTGATTGGAGCGAGCACCGCGGCCCTGTGAACAAGAAGGACGCGTGAGGGAGTTGCGGAAGTTTAAAAATAAGAAAAAAAAAAAAAAAACGGACGGAAACGCTGGAACCGGCGGAAACAACAAAGGCAACAGAAACGGCGAACGGGACGGAATTAAAACGGAAAAGTGTACGGCGAAGGTGGCGCGGAATTTAATTACAAACTTGGCAACTTTTGACACGAGTCGTCCGGGATGAAGCGGAGCGGCGGAGTGACCACGCCTCTTGCCTTGCAGTGTATTAGGGCCCCCTTTTTTTGACATCCCGCCAGAAAACAGAAAGAAAAGTGTCTGCGAAAATTTGACTTGAGTCTAGCCTTTCTCCTCCTCCTCCTCCCTCCTTTTCTTCTTCTTCTTCTTCTTCTTCTTCTTCTTCTTCTTCTTCTTCTTCTTCTTCTTCTTCTTCTTCTTCTTCTTCTTCTTCTTCTTCTTTGTCATTACCCGCTATGCTCCCTTTACCCCCACTTCTCCGCTCGGTGTGCCTTTAGCGGGCGGCGCCTCTCGTGGACCCAACGGAGTGCAAAGACGAAAGAAAGAGGCAAAAAAAAAGGAGAGAGAGAGAGAGAGAGACAAAAAGGGATGCCGAGGGACATTCAACACCCCAGGACTTGGTCCAGTCGAGGATGGATACAGCCCTAGTCTGCGTGGACCGGGCGGGGCCGTGGGCCGTGGGCAGGGCCGGGGTGGGGGAGGGGCAGAGAGAGGGGATGGAACGATAGCCTGCCGCCAGGATCATACAAATTGGCTCGTTTTGCGCGCCGCGCCACGCCACGCCGCGCCACGCGCCGCGACGATACTTTTATTAAAGCTGTATTTACCGCCCCTCCGGCATCGGACCGTGCCTCTCGCGCCAACCGCGCTATCTGCACTGATTTTGGCGCCCATGTGAGGGCGGGAAATTCGGGAGAAAATTTAGGAGAAAATTTGGTGAAAAATTGGAGAAATTTTGAAGAAATTCGGTGAATTTGGGGAAATTTGGAGGAAATTTAGAGGGAAATTTAAAGGGTGATTTGGAGGGAAATTTGGTGGAAATTTAGAGGGAAATTTGGAGGAAATTTGGAGGAAGTTTGGGGAAAGGCAGGCAGAAAGAAAAGGCAGACAGACAGAGACGACAATGACAACGCGTGCTTATTGCCAAAGCGAGCAGCGACGACGGAGAGGCATCATTCCAACGAGGAATCCAACCGACAAAAATGAGAGGCAAACAGGTATACAGTGTACACGTTGGCGGCGCGTCGGTCGCGGGAAAACAAAAGAGCGCAGACTAATCATCCGTTTCGGTGGATGACTAATGTCAGCGGCAATATTGAGATCCAAGCGGAGGGAAGATTTGGGCCTCGGCGTGCGCTTCCCGGCGCTTCGCGGGCAGGCCGGGCAGGGGGTTGTATCAGCTCTCATATCGAAGAGGGGAGAGGGAGGAGAAGGGGTGGGGGTATCGCGAAGCAATCACGAAGACATGCACAATCACGCTTCCAGGTGAGATAGAGAGAGGGAAGGGGGATTCCGGGAGGCCGCATCCCCGCCTGCCTGCCTGCCTGCCTGCCTGCCTGCCTGCCTGCCTGCCTGCCTGCCTGCCTGCCTGCCTGCCTGCCTGCCTGCCTGCCTGCCTGCCTGCCTGCCTGCCTGCCTGCCTGCCTGCCTGCCTGCCTGCCTGCCTGCCTGCCTGCCTGCCTGCCTGCCTGCCTGCCTGCCTGCCTGCCTGCCTGCCCGCCTGCCTGCCTGCCTGCCTGCCTGCCTGCCTGCCTGCCTGCCTGCCTGCCTGCCTGCCTGCCTGCCTGCCTGCCTGCCTGCCCGCCGGGCCCTTCCTGGTGCTGGGGCGTTGCTGGCGTTGCGCACCACTCGAGCGTACCAACTTGACATTATTACATTCCTAGCCCGGCGCGGTGCGGCGCGGTGCGGCGTTAGCGTCCCGACTCTCAGAGCCGCGCCACTTTTTTAGGCGGCCCGTCCCAAAGGCCACGCCCAGCGCCACGCCCCCAGGCCCAGCCAGGCCCAGCCAGGCCCAGCCACCCACTCCAAAGCTGCAGCTTGGCTTTCCGAAAGCCTCACAGTGGGCCACAAGACCGGTGGAGGTGGCCAAAAAAGGCGCTTTCAGCTTCAGAGTCGCTAACCCAGCGGTTCCCAACCTTTTTCGGTTCGCGACCCCAAATTTGGAACAAAAAATTTCCGCGGCCCCCAGGAAAAATTTCGCGACCCCACGCGACCCCACGCGACCCCTCCTTTAGCATGCCTTTGATACAAAGTGCGATAATCCACCTTAGTTTGGGAGCAGTATTGCCGCAAAGTTGATCAAAACGGCCACAAATGTCTTTTAAAAATCGTGTTTTGGGCCGACTTTAAGCAGCCACTGCGTCTGATCCGAGGCGGTATCTCGTCCTCCCTCAACGGGCATTTGGTCTTTGGACCTTCCTTTAGCATGCCTTTGTTACGGAGTGTGATTATCTGCCTTAGTTTTGGAGCAGTATTGCCACAAAGTTGATCAAAACGGTCACAAATGTCTTTGAAAAATAGTGTTTTGGGCCGACTTTAAGCAGCCACTGCGTCTGATCCGAGGCGGTATTTCGTCCTCCCTCACCGGGCATTTGGTCTTTGGACCTTCCTTTAACATGCCTTTGTTACGGAGTGCGTTTATCGGCCTTAGTTTGGGAGCAGTATTGTCTCAAAGTTGATGAAAACATTAAAAAATGCCTTTGAATGCCATTTTGATCCACTTTGAGACAACACTGCTCCCAAACTAAGGCCGATAATCGAACTCCGTAACAAAGGCATGCTAAAGGAAGGTCCAAAGACCAAATGCCCGCTGAGGGAGGACGAAATACCGCCTCGGATCAGAAGCAGTTGCTGCTTAAAGTCGGCCTAAAACACGAGTTTTGCAAAGACAGCCACCTCCCAGAGCAACTGAAACAAAACGCAAAAAAAAAATAAATGAACAACAGTGTAGCCCACTTCCCCTTGTCACAAACGATATTAAAAGGTGGGCAACGGCGTGCCTGGCGCGTGCGTGCGTCTCTGGGACTCCAGGCGTTCCAGTCGCGCTCCAGCCGCTCCAGCCGCCACGTGCGCAGAGGCAGAAGCAGGTACTACACTACAACGAGACAATAACGGGCAGGGATGGAACGACGGCTGCGCTCTCAGCCAATTGACTTTTCAGTCAGGACGATCGAATATGTCGAAACACGGCGTGTTCGGCACGATGGGGGGACCAGAAGCGTCTGCACAGTGGGCCAGCAGACCGGTGGAAGCGGCCAAAACTCCAGACGCGTTTTGAGCTCCAGAGTCGCTAAATGGGACTCGAACCGAACGTGTGACCCCACCAATGGATTGCTCTCCGAATCCATTGGTGGGGTCACACGTTCGGTTCGAGGCCTATTCAGCGACTCTGGAGCTCAAAACGCGTCTTTGGCCGCCTCCACCGGTCTTCTGGCACACTGTGGGCTGCGAGACGCCCCAAGGTAGGCAAAAACGGCACACGATGCAGTGGTGTGGAGCGGGTTGCCTACGCCAGGCCGTAAGGCGCTGAGGTGGCCCACGAGGCCCTCGCGGTCTCAGGTTGTCACTGCGTACGAGACGTACGCTGGGGCCACACTGTGGATTTCTCGCCGAGTCTCACTCCAGCCTGGAGTCTCCATGGAGCTGGAGTCTCGCTGGTGCACTGTAGCGGGCATTCCGGACGTGCACTGTAGGCCCTTGTCCGCTGAAAGGAGAGGTATGCGAGTCCACGGGCACCACGGGCTCGCATGGGCAGGCAGTCGGCAGGCAGTCCAGTCGTGTAAATCGCGCCTGTTTTCCGCCTAGCTTCCACGCAGTATCCGCGTAGCGACGTAGCAGACGACCCATTTGAGCGTCTCGCGGCCCCGCGGGCGGCCGGCGTCCGAGGAGGAATCCGGACCGCATGCCTGGACAAAGTTAGTCTTGATGAGAAAGAGGAGCTATTCTTGTCGGGGTTGTTATGTCTGGCCCCCGCGCGCCAAGGTCAGTGTGTCTCCCTCTTTCTGCCGCTGCCAGTTTCTCTCGGACCGCTCGCTTTATTTGGCAGCAAAGCGAGAACAAAAAAGGTGAGAGACACGCGGGCCATTCTTTCGAGGGATGGTGGCGACTCTGGGAGAGCGGGTCAGTTTCGAAAAGAAAGAGTTCCGCAGGGTTGCCCGGTGTTAGGGTAGCGACTCTGGAGCTCAAAACGCGTCAGGGGTTTTGGCCGCCTCTACCGGTCTCCTGGCCCACTGTGGAGCGTCCGTGGGAACCATCGCCGACTCGTCGGTGGGACCGTCGTGCACCTTGTACGTCGTCAACTCAACCTTGCGACCCTCCTTTTGCGCGAATAAAACGCGAAAGGCGTCTCGATGCCATGAAGGCCATGAAGGCCATGGAGGGCATCGGGAAGGCGGGGGCAGCGGGGGCACTTTACGGCGCGGCGAGTACCAAGCGGCCTAGCCGGCCTAGCCGGGCGGTCCTGCAGGCCGAGCTCGCCGAGGACGCCGTCGGGGCCTCGCCCGACGCCCCCACCGCTACCCGCCCCACCCCGCCCCCACCCCACCCCGCCCCCACCCCGCCTCGGCCGGCCAACCCGGCGCCCCGCCGCCCCACCGCGCGCCGCGGCGGCCAACCAGGCGGCGCCGGTCGCCCCCACCACGCCCCCACCACGGCGCCGCGCGCGCGCCACCCCCGCCCGCCGGGCTGCTCGGGCCTGGCCGTGTCAAAACCCCGGCAAACAGAAAATCACTGTGTATAGAAAAGTTAATTTGAAACGAGTTGACGGAACGGAGCGATACAGGCGGCGCGGTGCTGCTGCGCGGTGCTGCTGCGCGTCCCGTGGCTGCGTTGGCCTGCGTGGTCCAGGACGTCCAGGACTGTGGTGCGGTGCGCCTAGGTGCGCCGTCCGCTCGGCTCGGCTCGGCCAGGCTCGGCCAGGCTCGGCTCGGCTGCACCGTTCGGTCTGCTAATTAACGCAATCCGAGCATCCGAGTGGCGGCGCTGCTCGGCCAGTGCGTGCTTGGCGTGCTCGGCGACCTCCGCGTGCTCCGTGCTGCACGCCCCGCGAGGCGCGCTCATGCATGCCGTCAGGAAGTGCGTGATCCTGGCGACGTTGACGCCGCGGTGGCCGGCGGCCGGCGCGCGCCCGCCCCCGGCCCGCGCTCTGCCGCCCTGTTGAGCGTCGCGGCCACCGACGCCGTCCTCGACGCCGACCTCGACGTCGTCCTCGACGCCGACCTCCGCGCCATCCGCCAAGCTGAAGTGCTCCGAGGGCGACCGTCTGCAGCCGGAGTGGCTCTCGATTACCTCCGGGTCGTCGCTGGCCCTGTCCTCCCTCACCACCACGACGCCCACGTCCACCGCGTCGCCGACACTATCCTCGTCGTCGGCGTCCTCGTCGTCGACGCCCGGACCGCCGCCCGGCTGCCCCGCCGGCCCGGTCGGCGGCGTAGGGGGCGCCGCCGGGCCCTGCCCGCCGTGCGGGCCTGGAGGGCCAGGGGGGCCGGGCCGCCTGTACCCGGAGCACGCCTACCAGCTCCACGGCCACGTTGGCGGCCAGGGCGGCCAGGGCGGCGGCCAGGGCGGCCAGGGCGGCCAGGGGGCAGCCCCCCTGCAGCAGGGTGGCGTGCTCCACGACTACGCCGGGCACCTGGCCCAGCACGCCCAGCACGCCCACCACCTCCCGGACCCCTGGGCCGCGCTCCGGCCCAACATGCTCAACAACCTCTCCGCCTCGGGGGGACTCGTCCTGGGAGGTAGGCAGTGGCCAGCTTCGCCTCCCATACAAATTTTTGTCCTTCATGTGCGTGTGTGTGGGTGTGTGTGTGTGGGGGGGGGGCATTTTTGAGAGGACTGTGGCCCTAAAGCAGCGCCGATCGTGCCTCCTTCACGTAGCGCAAGAAGCACCTCGACGGTTGTCCTGCGCGGCCAGAGTGGGCAGTGCCGATTTGACAGTGCACTAGACTGACGGTCGCAGACAGACAGACGGGGATCCTGCGCCGGATGCGTGTGGCTATTCTTGGTCCAGTCTGGGCAGTCTCGGCAGCAGACTGATTCCGAGAGCCGTCTTGGTCGCTCCGTCTCTCTCGCACCTGCACTGGATGCCCGATGAGTGCGAGAGAGACAGAGCGACGACTCTGGGAATCAGTGTGCAGTCTCGGCAACGCGGTGCCGCGAAGCCGCGAAGCCGCGAAGCCGCGCCGCGGACTCATTTGAATATTCGCGCGGCTAACTGAAAGTTGGGATTAAACAGTGTCGCGGCGCTGCGCCGCCTCTACGAGGTTTAGTTGCGAAGTGCTGCTCTATTGAAACTTCAGCCCTCTTGCAGTGTTTTCCTTGTCTAGCCACCGTTTGGTTCCATTCTCAATTTAAATTTCTTTTAAAAATCGTACGTTTAAAAAAAAATAGTGTAATTTTAATTCTACCGTTTGAGGCTCCAGATGTCGCTAAACACGACTCAAACCGAACGTGTGGATTCCTCGTTCAGAGAGCAATCCATTGGTGGGGTCACACGTTCGGCTCGAGTCCCATTCAGCGACTCTGGAGCTGAAAACGCGTCCGGGATTTCGGCCGCCCCACCGGTCTTCTGGCCCACTGTGCGTGACGCGTGTGTGTCCACTGTCGCAGGCCCCAAGGACGCGTGCGGCGACGTGAAGCGTGGTGTCGTCGGCGAGCTGTCCCTCAAGTCGTCGGCGGGGCCGGGCAGTCCGCTGGGCCCGCTGTCCAGCCCACTGTCCAGCCCGCTGTCCAGCCCGCTGGACCACGGCAGCGTGCACGGCCTGTCGCGGGGCCACCTGCACCCATGCGACCCCCCGGGGGGCCCCATCCACCAGCACGGCCACCACGGGCACCCCGCGCCGCCCGGGGGCGGGGGCGGCCCCGGCGGCCCGCCCCCCGGCGACGACAAGCCGGGCAGCAAGCAGAAGAGGCACCGCACGCGCTTCACGCCGGCGCAGCTCAACGAGCTGGAACGCTGCTTCTCCAAGACGCACTACCCGGACATCTTCATGCGCGAGGAGATCGCCATGCGGATCTCCCTCACCGAGTCCCGGGTGCAGGTCAGTGGCGCACTTTTTTAAATTTTAGAATCAAGAGCCGTAGCTTGAGTCCGTCTCGTCCAGTGACTCTCGCGTCAGCATGGTGGGCCAGAAGACCGGTGGAGGCGGCCAAAACTCCGCAGACGCGTTTTGAGCTCCAGAGTCGCTAAATGGGACTCGAACCGGACGTGTGACCCCACCAATGGATTCCTCGTTCGGAGAGCAATCCATTGGTGGGGTCACACGTTCGGTTCGAGTCCTGTTCAGCGACTCTGGAGCTCAAAACGCGTCTGGAGTTTCGGTCGCCTCCACCGGTCTTCTGGCCCACTGTGGCCCGTTTCGGGGGCCGTTTCTGTAATGACATCGCTTAATTTTATTGAACGCGTGTCTTGGTTTACGACTGGCAGGCAGTCGATGAACCGCACGGCAGTTAGCGCTTTGCCGCCACACTGTCTTGCCTGCAGCAGTGCTGCCACACTGGAAGCACCAAGTTCCCACGATGCGCCAGTGCCGGAAGGGTTGCCAACCTCAGCCTGCTTACTGTAGGCAAGGTCAAGGTCAATAATTGAACTCCAACGTTCGCTGGGTTCTCGTTTGTCCGTAAAAACACCAAAGTGAATCCACTCTCCGCTCGACTAGAGCGAGGCGCGTCTCAAACTTTGGCAAATTCACCCTGAGACGCTCGCGGCTCCACTCCGGGCTCAAGCTTAAAAACCTCCACGCATGCTTAAATCTTTCCCAACATTCCCAACCGGACGAAAAAACTCGGGCTGGCGCACGTGAATCGTTCGGTGAGGTGGGCGAGCACCTTGTTGAGGAGCCCCACCGTGGCCGTGCTTGGCGTGCCTGCTGCAGACTGGGTCCGAGAGTCCTCGCTCTGTCCCTCTCGCACTCACGGGGCGTGCCGTGCAGGTGCGAGAGAGACAGAGCGACGAAAGCGACTGGGCAGGGGGCCGGCCCGGCCGACGCCGAGACGAGCCTGAGACGGCAGAGGTGCTAACTCCCTGCGCCAACATCAAACTTTTCGTCAGCACAAGGGGGAGCCGGGACTCGCAGTCCTCGGCGTCCTCGCCGCAGCGCGCCGCCACTGCCACAAAATTTCCATTCCCTCGGAAGCGGCTCGGGAAAGCTTTATGGAAAAGCGGGGCGGCTAATGTCTGGGTGCCGCGGCGAGGCGCCACAGTGTGCCAGAAGGCCGGTGGAGGCGGCCGAAACTCCACACGCGTTTTGAGCTCCAGAGCCGCTAAACGGGCCTCGAACCGAGCGTGTGACCCCACCAATGGATTGCTCTCCGAACGAGGAATCCATTGGTGGGGTCACACGTTCGGTTCGAGTCCCATTCAGCGACTCTGGCGCTTAAAACGCGTCCGGTCGCCTCCACCGGTCGTCTGGCCCACTGTGGTGCGCTCCCCGGGCAGGCCGACCAGCACACTGAGAGTCGTTCTCGTCGCGCTGTCTCTCTCGCACTCTTGGGGCGTCCCGTATAGGCGCGACAGAGACGGAGGAATCAGTGTGCCGGCAAGCAGGCCGTCTTGCCATTGGTCCCCGAGGACGCGGCGGCCGGGAGGGGCCGGCCCGGGAGGGCGGCGGAGCGGCGCGGCGGAGCGGCAGTCTCCCCTCTAAAATGCTGTTAGGGTCGCGGGTGAAAAACGACTCGCTGGAAGCGCTGAAAATGGTGAGCGAGGCTTCACCGCGCATTATCACCAGACTGACCGGGGCAGGGCAGGCAGGGCAGGCAGGGCTTCGGGTGATCAGTCAGCAGGCCCATCAATCAGTCTGTCCTCCTCTCTCTCTCTCTCTCTCTCTCCGCCATCCACTGCCGCACCTGCAGGGAAGCCTCGTCTTACCCCCTCTCTCTCCCTCCCTCGCAACTTAATCAAATTCAAATCGGTCAGAAATTTAGTTGACTTTCTTGTGCGTATGTCAAAGTGGTGTGGTCAGGCTTTTCCCGTACACTGTGGGCCAGTAGAACGGTGGAGGCGGCCGATATCCCGGACGCGTTTTGAGCTCCAGAGTCGCTAAATGGGACTCGAACCGAACGTGTGACCCCACCAATGGATTCCTCGTTCGGAGAGCAATCCATTGGTGGGGCCACACGTTCGGTTCAAGTCCCGTTTAGCGACCCTGGAGCTCAAAACGCATCAGTTTTGGCCGCCCTCCACCGGTCTTCTGGCCCACTGTGCACTGTGCCTGCCTGAGACGCCCTAAGGTAGGCAAAAACGGCACACGATGCAGTGGCGTGGAGCGGGTTGCCTACGCCCGGCCGCAAGGCGCGAGTGTCCCCGCGGCCGCCTCGAACGAGATAACTCGGAGGCTAATTTGGACGGTGTCGCTTGGCGGCTTGGCAGTGGCTGCGCGCCTCCCTGCCCGGCCTATTCATCACGCGTCGACTCGTCGCCTTGGTAGGCCACGCAGCTCCATCTTGCCCGGCCGACCCTCGCGAGGGGTCAGCTCGCAGACTGATTCCGGCAGTCGCCCCGTGCGGCACGGCACGGCACGGCACGGCAGTGCGAGAGAGACGGAGGCCCAAATGGAGGTATAAATCTCGGGCCGGGCCGCACGCATCAAAACAAGGTGGCGGAGTCCCGGAGGACCCGGCGACCCGTCGCCAGCGGACTCGCTCTGTCTCTCTCGCACCCACGTGGGGCGCGCCGGCAGTGCGAGAGAGACGGAGCGAGGGGCAGTAGGCCGGCCGACCGCGGTTCATTTTTTACCGGACTTGGCGCCCCTCCCCCTCCCTCCCCAGGGTGCTTGCAGTGTGGTGGTCACTCCGCCCGGACGAGTATCAATCGCCTCCAGCGGATCCACCTCCCCGACGTGCGGCAGGGTTACCAACGGACTTTTGTCTTATTTTTTTTAAAGAGCATGTAAGGAGCGGCCGCAAATTTTGTAAGCCTCTGGCTGCCACTCGGTGTGGCAGTCCAGTCCGTGCCACTCCCCCGCGATGTGCAACGCGCTTCCAGTGTGTTTGCATGGCGGTGCTGCAACGCGGCAACGTCGCGGCGGATACGCCCCGCCAGCCCCGCGAGGGTGAAAGGAGGGGGAGGTGGCGTGGAGGTGTGAAAACGCTGGACCTCCCAGGCCGCGCCCCGCCCCGCCCCGCCCCGCCCCGCCCCGCCCCGCCCCGCCCCGTAGGGCACACATACACGCAGCACCGGCCCGTGACTTTGCCCGCCGCTGCCGCCGTGTCCAACGAGTCTCCATTTCAAAGGGGTCCGTGTAAAAAACACAAAAACAAAACAAAAAATTCCAATGCTAATCGTAGAAATCGTCGAAACGGTAGCAAATTCCACGACAGTGTTTGCCGAATTGGCGATGCTGTTCCTGCCGATTGAGCTGTTCGTGAGCAAGTGGGCACTTTGCAGAGCTATCAGTGTGCACGTCGTTGAACAGGACTGCGGGTGCACAACAGTCCCGCCGACTGAGCTGCAGGCTGAGAGTCTGTCTCCCTCGCACACATGTGGGACGTCCCATGAGTGCGAGGGAGACAGAGCGGCGAAAGCGACTCTCAGTGGGTCCGTTCGGAATCAATCAGGACAAGTTTCTTTGTCATTAATAATCGAGACAGAGGCGACGCGTGCTCTCCCCCCACCCCCTTCGCGTGTGTCATGCCGGTCACGTGGCGGAGTGACGGGGCAACAGGTATTCGACGTGTGGGCGAGGGGAGAGAGAGAGAGAGAGAGAGAGAGAGAGAGAGAGAGGAGAGAGAGAGAGACAAGGAGCGTGTGCTACCTTTGAGCTTTACTCCACATAATTAGGCGTCCCTTTGGTCTTCTCCGCATCCCTCACTGCCGATCAAATAAAAGCTACAGCCGCATCCGAGCGAAGGTAATCGGAAGTCATAAAGGTGGGCTGCCTTGCCTGCCGAAGGGCCGCCGGCCGGTGGCAGCATTCGCTGTCTCTGTCGCACTCACAGGCGCAGTGGGCCAGAAGACCGGTGGAGGCGGCCGAAACTCAAGACGCGTTTTGAGCTCCAGAGTCGCTAGACATGACTCGAACCGAACGTATGACCCCACCAATGGATTCCTCGTTCGGAGAGCAATCCATTGGTGGGGCCACACGTTCGGTTCGAGTCAAATCTAGCGACTCTGGAGCTCAAAACGCGTCTAGGGTTTTGGCCGCCTCCACCGGTCTTCTGGACCACTGTGCGTTGTGCAGGTGAGGGTGGGGGAGTGGGTCGACCTTGACGGACTTGCCGGCTGCACTGTAAGGCACCGCCTTCCTGGAATACGGCCCGAAACCCTTTGCGTTTCGTCCGGCGGCGCATCGCCAAGGCGGTGCAGGCGGTGCGTGGGAGTGTAAAAGAGCGACCTTGGCGGCGAGTGAGGGAGAGAGAGAGAGAGAGAGAGAGAGAGAGAGAGAGAGAGAGAGAGAGAGAGAGAGAGAGAGAGAGAGAGAGAGAGAGAGAGAGAGAGAGGCCCAAGGAGGTAAAATGGTCCGGGCGTGCCGTCAGTGCCGCCCAGTCGAAACTTTTCTCATTTCCAAGTAGCGCCCAAAGTGAGTTGACGACGAGGAGGCCGCGGCAGGCACGGCAGCCAGGTGTGGGGCGGGAAGCGTGAGTCCTTGGCTGCGTTGCCACGGCGTTGCCACGGCGTTGCCACCGCGCTACAGGTCGCTTCAGTCCATGGAGCGACTCAACTTTAGTCAGTGAAAAACTTAAGCGCCGCGGCTTCCTCTCCTGCTCCTTCCGAGTTTTGTTGCTGCCTCTCTTTTCTTTTTTTTCTTTGCCTCTCACACACCGGGCTGTCATGCCGGGCCGCACGCGAATTTTAATATTATCAATCTTTTGGCGGCCCCTCCCATTTTTTCGTTGGGTGTCATTATTTCACGAGGCCGGGGGGCCGCCATGGCGCCGTGCCAACCCTGTGCAGTGCACCAACCACGTGAGTCCAACCGGCCGACGCACAGTGGCCCAGAAGATCGGTGGAGGCGGCCAAAAGTCTAGACGCGTTTTGAGCTCCAGAGTCGCCAAATGGGACTCGAACCGAATGTGTGACTCCACTAATAGATTGCTCTCCGAA